GTCTCAGCTGGAGCACTAGGTGTCACCAGGGGCCTTCCACCTCGAATTTTTACCCCTTTTTTCCCAAGGACTGAAAAATTGCCACTGTTTTCTCTGTCTTCCCTACTGCTGTATTCTGTTTGATTTCTCGACACCTCGTTCTGTGTAGCTTCAGAGGGAACACTGCAGGCAGAATGCTGGGCTCACATCTCTGATTCCCTCCAATTCTGACCAGAACTTGGAAACACTGAAGGCTAGGGACTGGTGAGGAAGCTAGAAGCGCACTAAGCTGTGGGTTTGCACTTGGCCTTTTCATCCTGCACCAGAGATCCCAAGGTGGCCTGAATACAAATGTGGGGCACACACCTCCATGTGCTTCCTTTATTTTTCCTAGAATTTTGACTCTCTGTGCCTGACCTCCCTTGGGTTTGCTCCAGTGCCTTCAAACAGTTGTTTAAATTTAATCCTGCCTTTAAATTTGTTTCCAGCAGGAAGGCTAGTGTGATATAAACTCCCTGTCATAGCCGGAAGTGGAGTTTCATCCCACACATTTGAGATGTAATAGTTGCATCATTATTGAGTCAAGAGATTTCCTGAATTTCACATGGCTTAATGTCTGAACCATAGGTCAATTATATGTTTCTTGCTTCACTTTCAAATGTGTGAGACATTTTAACTATCTTTTTGTTATTGATTTTTAGCTCAATTGCATTGTGGACAGAGAACACAGTCTAAATATTTTCAGGTCTTTGTCATTTGTTCATATTTGTTTTATGGCCCAGCATGGTCCATTACTTTGAATTTTGTGTGTATGTCCTCAAAAGAATGCATGTTCTCTAGATGGTGTCAATAGTAATGTGTGGGTGAGGTGGAGTTTACTGATTGCTTTGGCTACAGTAGGGTGTTTTGTTTTTTGGGTTTTTTTGGTCTGCTGTATAAATAATTAGTGGAGGGTAGTAAAATATCTCAAATCTGAGTGTGGATTTGTCTAGTTCTCTTAATTCTGACAAATTTGATTTTCTTTATTTCAGAGCTTTATCTTTAGATATGTACTACCTTATAATTGTTTCATTTTCCTAGTGAATGGAAACAGTTATCCTATATGAATTGCCCATTTGTGTCCTGTAATGCTTTTTACCTACAATTCTGTAATTTTACCTGAAATTCTTTTTACCTGTAAATGCTGTCTAATGTTAAAATAGCTTCACTAGCTTTCTTTCTTTCTTTCTTTCTTTTTTAAGATTTATTTACTTAAGAGCTGGGGCACAGGCCAGAGATGGTGGGGGGGCGGCGTGAGAGGACTCACCAGAGACAGAGCAGGGAACAGAACAGGCAGACTGACTGAAACACACTGCTGAGGGGAGCAGCAGGTGAGACAGGAGAGGCCTGCTTCGCCATGTGGGTTGCTCCCTGGCAGGCTGGGAATTGAACTAGTGCTGCAGAGGCTTCAGATTGCTTCACAGTGCCGTGCTTAACCCCTTGCGCCACCAGGGAGGCCCTTCACTAGCTTTCTTTTTGTTAATGTTTGTGTAGTATATTTCCTTATATTTTTAATCTTGGAAAGAGTATTGTAGTTGTTCATCCCCCCTCTGCCCCCGCCCTAGTTACCCTGTCTGTTATTGCTGATATTTACTTGGAACATTTAATGTTTATATTTAAATATGTATCATGACTTAAATTTACCATCTTGCTACTTGTTTTCTTTTCTTTTTTTATTCATTCATTCATTCATTCATTCATTCATTCATTTATACAAGCACTGGGTACAGTCAAAAGCGCGGGAGGGTGAGAGAATTCACCAGAGCCAGAGTGGGGAACAGAACAGGTGGACCGATGAAATACACTGTTGAGGGGAGCAGCGGGCGCGGCAGGAGAGGTCTACACACCATGTGGGACCCTCGCCCAACTGCCGGGGATCAAACCGGTACTGCAGAGGCTGTGAGCAGCTTCGCAACCCAGCGCTCAACCGCTGTGCCACCAGGGAGCCCCTTCTTTTCATTTTTAAAAAAGATTTATTTATTTATGCATACAAGAGCTGGGGTAGAGGCCAGAGATGCCGGGATGAGAGGATTCACCAGAGACAGAGTAGGGAGCAGAACAGGGAGATCTACTGAAATACACTGTTGAGGGGAGCAGTGGGCACGACAGGAGAGGTCTGCCGCGCCATGTGGGAATCTCCCTGGCTGGCCAGGAATTGTACCCACACTGCAGAGGCTGCAGACAGCTTCACAGCGCTGTGCTCAATCCTCTGCACCACCAGGGAGGCCCTTTCTTTTCATTTTTGGTTTTGCTTATTTTTTTCATTCCTTTCTTTGTCTTCTTAAGACATTTATTTTTGGGTTGGTTTTGTTTTGTTTTAGTTAGCTTTATTGAGATGCAATTTGCAAAAAATAAAATCCGTGTGTGTTAAGCGTATCATTCGATGAGTTTTGATCAACCCCTGTAACCACCGCAACCAAGGAGTAGAATGTTTCTTTTGTTCCCCAGATTTCCTCCACGCCCCTTTGCAGTAAGTCCTGTGTACCCCCAAAGCTCCTGAGATGCTTCCCTTCACCATAGTGTTGCCTTTTAACCATACAGCTCGTGGTCTTTTGAGTCTGGCTTTTTTCACTCAGCATAAATCCTCTGCAACATATTACCGAGTATTTTCTTATTTTCCCATTTTCCCCGTCTGTGGCCTGACCATCTACACTCTGCTCTTGTCTTCAGTGGTCATTGTGGAGAACCAGTGCTGTGGTGCCGCTTGTGTTTCTGCACGGCTTGTGGGCAAAGACACTGACTGTCTGTCCCAGACTGTCTTTTCAGGATGTTTGTAGCGTGAACAGCCTTGGAAGATGGAGACAGGATCTGTCCCTCCAGCTGGCTGTCAGTTGCTTACTTTCCTGTATCATAGAGATACTCTCTCCCTCCGGAGCAAAGCTTAGATTTTCTTATTGACAATTATAAGCAGTTCAAGTTCCTTAAGCTCAGGGTTTCTCTTCTCTAACGTAACATGAGCGGGTGTCACCCGACCCTCTTCGTGTCACCCGGCAGGAAGTGGATCCCAGGAATGGACACAAATGCCGCTGTGGTTGCTGCAGTTGCTGTGAGGAGTCAATTGCCCTTTGTCTTGGATCGGGAATCTTGTGTCTTCTGGCAGTATCCGTGAAAGCGTGTCAGGCTCACTTGTTCATTTGCAAGTAGGGTGAAATCTGAACCCCTTCACAGTTCTTGATGGAACCCTCAAGAGTGTAACACACATGCTTGATCTTACTGAAGCATAACTGTGACTTTAGTCTCTTCTACCACAAGAAATGGGTCTTAGAATCCTTCAGAGTCTAAGAATCGGCTCCTCTGACAGCCCAAAACACTGGCCTCAGTTCCTGGGCCTCCCTGATGCCTCGCAGCACAGATGTTCGTCACTGTCTGGTTAGGAACCCAGCACCTTCCAGCAGCTGCTTTTTATATTGTGCCCCGCATGCCTGGTTCCCAGCAGACTCACCTCATTACCTGGTCTGCCATGAATGGAGGAAGTCCACAGACAGATCCCATTTCTTTTGGTTCATTCCATCAGCCTTCAAACACCTAATTACACTTTTCCCAGTAGCTGCCTTTATTTGCTCCCCTCTATGGCAAAACTCAAAACGCTGTCTGTACTTGCTGTTTGCACTTGCTGTCTGCAAGTTCTTGCACCCTGTTATTTCTTCAACCTGCTCCCGTTAAGCTTTGGACCCACCCACCCACCACAGGTGCTTCTGTCAAGGACACCGAATCCAATGATTGGTTCTTAGCCTTCCTTATATATGCCACAGCAGCCACGTTGGATGTGGAGTGCCCTGATGTTCCAGGGAGGTGAGAAGGCACAGAGGCGGCTGGCGGAGAATGAGCCATGGCCCCACAGCTCCCCCTGCTTGCAGGTTTCCTCTGGGGCGTTGTCACGTGGTAGCGTAGGAATGCACTTCCTCATTTTGCTTTTTCCTCACTCCTTTGGTGGATCCCCCCATAAGAATATAAGGCTCCAAGATGACAGCCTCTTGTCTGTTTCACTTATTCATTCTCCCTCCACTTAGCAGTGTCGGGCACAGGTCTGGTCACCAGTAAAGACTTGCTGAGCAGTTGCACCCTCTTGGAAAGCACAGGTTGGCTTGGAGCCCCTGGGCACTGCCTCTGCTGGACCCTGCAGGCCTCTGGGCTGTGGAGGTGTGAGGGACAAAACCTTCTGCTGTGTTGAATCCTGCTCTGAACTAACCATCAGTGACGTGTAATTATTACAGTTTTAAAGTGTTATCACAGCACCTCAGTGAGGTGGGCAGGGCAAGTGTAATAGGTTCATGTTTCCAACAGGGCTCAGGAAGGGGAGGCGTTTTGCGGAGGTCACACAGCAACTTCTCATGAATCCAGTGCTTCAAACATGAACAAAACTTTTTTGTCTCTGATGGTAAAAATTATATATACTCATTGTGGGAAATTTAGAAAAGACAGAAGTATATAAGGAAGAAAACGTCGTTGTTTTGTTGGCCTGCACGTTTTGACATATTTCCCACCAATCTTCTTGTCCTTCATGGTTGCACAAGACAAGACTTGTGTCTTGCGTTTTTACTAAAGATCCCAAAACGAACAGGTCCCTGTTTTTAAATGTAACTTTTATTGGCTGCATAATATTCCGTTTCTGAGAGGAGTCACAATCTTATACTATCCTGTTGCAGGACATTTATGCCAGGGGCTGGGCACTTGAGCTGGGGCTCCCTGATGTGACAGTTAAATTAAGAAATGGATATGACATAAATGATATCAAATGAAATATAAAAATACCTTGTGATGATAAGTAAGGAGATCAATAAATAGATGGTGTGTGTCTGGGTCTGTATGTCTCTCCGCAGTGGGAGAGAGCAGCCGGGCTGGAGCAGGTGCGACCATGGCCGGAGGCAGGCAGTGACCTATTTGTGTGGAGCCGAGGCTTCTGATTCACAGCCGTGTGGGTGCAGGCTGAGGGTTCACCTGACTCATGGCCTTGTCTCCCCCCCTCCGTCCTGGCTCCTCAGGCTCTTCCAGCTGGAGTCGGAGGCCGAGGCCATAGTGAACTTCCAGCAATACTGTGCCCAGCTGCCGCCCTTCTACGAGAGCTCTGCGAACGTCCTGCAGGTGGAGGTCCTGCAGCACCTGACCGACCTCATCCGCAACCACCCCAGCTGGTCGGTGGCCCACCTGGCAGTGGAGTTGGGGATCCGAGAGTGCTTCCATCACAGCCGCATCATCAGGTGGGTGGGGGCGCCTGGCCAGCTGGGGCAGGAGGACAGGACCAACGGGACAGTATGTGTGGATGGCGGGTAGGGATAGAGTACGGGGGTGACTGCCAGGCCAGCCTTGGTTCCCCTCTGTGTGGCCTGACTTCAGCAGGGGCACCTTGCCCCGTCAGCACCTTGCTGACGAAAGTCAGGAGAGGCACCCCCAGGTGCCTAGGGGTTAAATCTCAGCGCTATGGCCTGAGTTCGATCCGGCCAGGGAGTTGACGCACATGGTGCAGCAGACCTCTCCTGTCTCCTGCTGCTCCCCTCAGCAGTGTATTTCAGTAGATCCACCTCCTCTACTTCCCATTCTGTCTCTAATGGATCCTCTTACCCGCCTCACCTCTGGCCTTCACCCAGTTCTTCTACCCCAGAGAGAGAGAGAGAGTCAGAGAGTCAGGAGAAAGGGAAGATTTCTGCAGGTCAGGCTCTGGGAGCTGTTTGACCCCCACCCTGAACACGCATCCTCCACACCCCCATAATCACCAGGGAGTGCACATGTGACCTGTGCAAGGGAGAAGGCAGGTGAGGCCTCAGCTCCTGAATGTCTCCTTCCAGGGATCTGCCCTTCTGGAAGCGGGGACACTTACTTTCACATGTCCTCTCAGCCAGTGCACATCGGTGTGGGTGCCCCTGGGAGGGCGCTGGCTGGCTGCTGGCCTGGGGTGGCCACACCTCTGCTTCTCCACCCAGCAGCTCAGCTCAGCTCCCCAGCCTGGAGCACAGACCTCCCCACTGCCCTGTACAGTTGACAAGCTGCTTCGTGGGCATCATCCCGGCAGTTCTGCCCACATCCTGGGCAGGCACGGCAGGGATTATATCTGGTTTTTGCCCAGATAGGTGAAGTGAAAGGCCCCGGGTTAGTGAGCTTTCTGCCTTCATCCACGCTCTCTTGCCGCTGTACTGCCCTGGGCCTGGTGCAGCTGGAGCGGCCCGGGCGCCTCGCCCATACAGCTAAAACTGCCAGCAACTAAAATTGCATACAGATCGCGTGGGTCCTGACCGGCTGTGGCTTGGCCCAAGTGTGAACCTGCTTGCTTGAGCCTGGCACAGACGCCTTGCCCTCGGAGCCCACTCTGCTCTACACGCCTCCACCCGGGCTGGGCCCTCACCCCCGCCCTCCCCACAGCTGTGCCAACAGCAGGGAGAATGAGGAGGGCTGCACGCCCCTGCACCTGGCCTGCCGCAAGGGCGATGGGGAGATCCTGGTGGAGCTGGTACACTACTGCCACGTGCAAATGGATGTTACCGACGACAACGGGGAGACCGCCTTCCACTACGCCGTCCAGGGGGACAACTCCCAGGTGCTGCAGGTAAGCAGGGGTGGGACAGCGTGACCTGTGCCCATCATGGTGCCCCCAGCTATCTTTGGGTCCCCGGGCTCAGGTGACCTGCTGGTAACACGTCTTGCTGTTCCCCCTTTGATCCTGAGTGTGGTGAGTGTCCCCCATTCTGAAATCTCACCTCTTGTGCTGGTCTGGCTGGCATAGGCCCTGTTACTTTGCTCTGACCACCGGGAAGCCTCCAGCCCAGCACAGCAGGTTGAAGGCCCCCATGCCAGGGAGTGCGGTGCAGCCGCTCCTGAGTCTCTGCCATGAGCTGGGCACTCTGCAGTGAATCCACTGAAGCCCCTGCCTGGAGTACCTGGGGGCCCCGGAGCTTAGCCTTTTATAGGAACTCAAAACCTCCCAACCTCCCAACCAGCCAGCCTCCACCCGGCTCATGCATGTTGGCCCAGAGGCGCTCCTTTGTTTGATCACCTGGGCAGAAATAGGAGGATAAAACCTGTGGGTGAGGAGAACGAGGGGTGCCATTAAAAGGCTGCTTTATATATTAGAGTGAAACGAAAGAATATTTCTATTCTATTGCCCAGAATTAGACAATTCCCTTGAGGGCTGTAGCTGCTCTCTGTCTCGTGCCCCAGCAAGTGTGGATTCGGATCACGATCTGCCTTCCCAGGGTGGGGACCCTGCACTCTGCTAACTCACTCTTACTGAGAAGCCCCAGTGGGGGCGCCTGCCCACTGCAGTGGGGGCTGGCACCATCTCTCCCCAAGAGTCACCTTCAGCTGTGGCTGCAGCTCCTGCACTTGGCTCTGTAAGTTCTAGTTAATTCTCCAAAGCTTCTACTTACCCTCCTCTGCTCACCAAAGCCACTGAGGTTCAGTGAAGTTAAGAAATGTGACCAAGGGCCATGCACTATGGTGCTCAGTGCCGCCTTCCCTGCTGCGTGTCCAGCCTGCTGCCAGGCCCACAGTCACAGGAGCCACAGAGATAGCTCTAGCCACCAGGGAGGAAACACGGGCCTCCTGGGTTTTAGGGCTGGCATTGTTTCTCATTGAAGAAATAATACCTGCACATAGCGGAAAAAATCAAGCAGGGGCCTCCCTGGTGGCGCAAGGGGTTAAGCACACTACTATTGAGCAAGAGTTCAATCCCCGGCCGGCCAGGGAGCTACCCACATGGCGCAGCAGACCTCTCCTGTCTTGCCTGCTGTTCCCCTCAGCAGTGTACTTCAGTCAGTCTGCCTGTTCTGTTCCCTGCTCTGTCTCTGGTGAATCCTCTCACCTCTGTGCCTCTGGCCTGTACCCCAGCTCTTGTATGCATAAATAAAATATTTTTAAAAAATGGTAGGTATTAAAAAAAAAAATTAAGCAGGACAGAAGGGCATGCAGCGAAAAGCAATAGTCACCCTGCCAGCTGCTTCTCTGTGTGTTCTTATCTCATGGGGTCAAACTTCCCTACCTGTGGGGTCCCCAGAGAGAGACCTGCAGGGTGGGAGTGAAGGGAGGGGAGAGACGTGCAGGGCGCTGCTGGGTGGTGACTGCAGCGCCACCTTGCTGCCATCAGCTGCTGGGGAAGAACGCCTCCACCGGCCTGAACCAGGTGAACAAGCAAGGCCAGACCCCACTGCACCTGGCCTGCCAGATGGGGAAGCAGGAGATGGTCCGCGTGCTGCTGCTGTGCAACGCCCGCTGCAACGTCATGGGGCCTGGTGGCTACCCCATCCACACAGCCATGAAGTTCTCCCACAAGGGGTGAGTCTGCCCCCCTCACCCGTGAGCAGGGCCCCGCAGGCTCATAGCATAGATGCGGGTCAGATGTGGGCCCTGGGCTGGCCTAATGTGAAGGTGAGTGTCAATGTGTAGGCCGTGTGGCTCTCTGTGCACGGACTCCGCTGTGCAGGGAACGGCTCCAGGATGCTGTTCAGCTGTCGGGAAAGAGGAAATGTTGCCATTTACAGCAAAATGAAGGCATTCCAGGGCATCGTGTGCAGTAAGCAAGTCAGGATGACAGAGAAACACTGGCTGTTTCACAGCTGATGACTGAACAAGGCACAATACTTACAAAAACTAACAGAGGCTCATGGATGAGGTGAGGCTTCCGAGGGGTGGGGAGAAGGGTCAGAAGGGCCTCAGGGATGGTGGAAGAAAATTGTTTGGTGTGGCTCACTTCCAGAACGACTTCTGACCAATAGAAATAAATAAATGAATAAACAAATAAAGCACTTGACCTGCCAAAGGTCAAACGGCTAACAGGTGTGTATTTCTCAGATCTGATGAGGGATGGCTAGAGCTTGAAGAATGAGAGGATTTGCTCACTGTAAACTTTTCATCATGAAACTTGCATTCACCCCACAACAAACAAACAAAGCCCGTTAAGCCCCTCTCACATTGTGGTCACCCCTGTCACAACTAGCCAGGGGGACACAGAAGACCCTGGGGGTCTGTGGGTGTGGTCTGCACCATGTTGTAGATATGGGGTGCAAAAGTACAACCCACTTTTGAGCCACCTGACACCCTATCGGCCAAAAAGGGGAGCACAGACTCTGGAGCCGGGTCACCTGGGTTCAACTTCTGGCATTGTCACCTCACTTTTCTGTGCAAAGCAAAAAAAAAAAAAGATCCAATAGGTACGTCAGACAAGATGATATTCAGATATCCACATGCCCACTAAAAATATTTTGAAAGGGTTTAACATCATTATTCATCAGATAATTCAAATGTAAAGTACACATCACTACCTAAACGGATGGTTAAAATCAAGGCCACACCAAGCATTAGGCGGAAAAAAAGGAAACTCTTACCTGATGCATCGTAATGTCTAACCATGAACTTCCCTCTTGCAAACCGGAGAAAAACGATCTTAATCTTCCCTGGGGACCCTCCTTTCCCCTCCCGGGTGGTACTCCAGTGCTAGAATCTCATGCAACCCCAGGCTTGCAGGACACCCCCACCCCGACCTGGGTCCTCATCTAAAGGGCCCCTTCCCAGCAGCATTGCTGCTGCCTCGTTGCCCGCTGCCTGCCCGCCCCGGCTCTGCTGGGACAAGGGCCAGACCCGTGTCTTGGGGACTCTCCACCACTCTTTTCTGCCCTTTTCCCTAGACCTGGAAGCCCTGGTCTCAGGAAAGTGGTCCTTGTGCGTGTTGGGGGGCCCTGGGGGGAGGTAAAAGAGATGACTCTCTTGAATTATTGATTACCCAGCAGGAACGGTCTCTGTCGAAATGAACGAATGTGGGCGTGAATGAGGGAATCCATCGGACCCTCAGCCCCGGAGACTGGAGCCTCACAGAGCTGGATGGGAGAGGGTCCCAGACAGCCGGGGCCCCAGGGCCGTGGGTGCTGTATGGAGACAGGATAGGCAGAGAGTGTGGGGGGCCACACCCAGTGGGGAACAGGCCCTCTCACTCCCCTCAGGTTTCCTTCCTGTGGGGCCTGCACCCACCTGCTGGCCACTGCAGGCATTACTGTCCTCTCCAAAGTCTGGGCCAGGCTCAGATAAACCCTCCTTTCCTTGATTCTCCCCAGCGCAGCAAGATGATGTAGAACTTTCAGGGGTAGAACAAATGGTGGGAGACCTTGTGACACCCCAACCTGTCAAGTCATGGGCTTCGACCCCAGCAGACGTGAGTGCTGAGTGACCTCTCCTTACCCCAGGGCTGGCACCGTCCCGCACTGGCTTGCCTCCAGCCACCCTGAGCTTTACTTCCAAGACCCTGCTTTTGTCCAGGCCGCATCCCCTCTCTGCCTGCTCAGGCCTCCGCCACAGGGCCTGCTCAGATCACAGGAGGATCTTTGCACCATTTGCTTTGTTCTCTGGGTGCGTCCTACAGCCCGCAGGGACGGCCCGGTGGTGGCACTCCGAGAGTGGTTCCGACCCGCTTCCCGTCGGGAGCCGCTCTGCTGTCTGCTTCAGCTCGGCTGCCCTTCACTGGGCCCAGGTTCCGGCCTGGGACTCTCAGATGATTAAGCCCCTGCCAAGGAGGTACTCATGGCCCAGAAGGGGAAACGTGAACCCAGAGGAGGGTGCAGGAGGGCTGCGTGAGGGCATCGAGTGGTGGCTCAGCAGCCAGGGCCCAGTGGGGCTTCCCAGCACACAACGCTGAGCTGAGCTGTGAGAGGTCCTTTGGGGCTAGCCAGTTCGGCCTCAGCCTTCTCTCGGTGATGTCCTGGAGGCCCAGGGGGTCACGGGGGGAGTTGGGCTCCTCTCAGTGAGAAGGCTGGGGCCTGGGGTGGGGCTGGCAGGAGAGAGGCTGTAAAAGGCCTGTCCCCGTGGGTGGGGACGAGGACAGCAGTAATGGCAAGGGGAAGAACTGCTGATGGCTGAGGCTGCTCTGGCCCCTGGGCCCTGCCCCTGCAGGGATGGTTTCACAGCAAGCCGGGGCGCAGCTGAGTTTTGTCCCCAGTTGAAATGAGGCAACCAGGGAGTTGAGCCCAGGCAGGCTGCCCCCAGCAGCTATGCTCTTGTGTGTAGCGACTGTATAGGACTTCATAGAAAGACGATTAACACGCCACAAACCCCCCGATTTCTAAAGTGTACCACTCTTCAGGTTTTGGTATCTTTTTATTAACTTTTAAAAATGGTGATGAAAATCTATAACCAGATGTGTCCTGGTCTAGCACAAGCCTCCCCACTCCCCACCTTCCTGACTGCCCTGTGGTCCTCTCCCCAGATGTGCTGAAATGATCATCAGCATGGACAGCAATCAGATCCACAGCAAAGATCCTCACTATGGAGCCAGCCCCCTTCACTGGGCCAAGACTGCTGAGGTAGGAGGGGCCTGCGGGTGAGTGGCAGATGGGGGGCATACCCAGTGTCCTTTTTGCTCAGCTTTCTGCAGGAAGGAGGTTCCTGAGAGGCCTCTGAGGATGATGCTTGGAGGGCTGATTGGGTAGTGTGCCCTCAGCAGATAGGCCTGAGCAGAGATGACTTCCTGGTTTAGCTCTGCCACTCACTGGCAGGGTGACCATGTCCCTGGCTGGGCTGGTGGGTGAGCAGGGTGTGGTTACCAAGGCCTGGGGAGGAGTCACCTTGTAGGGTCCCAGCGAGGGCACAGGGAGGACAGTTCTTTGCAGGGGAATGGGACCCTGTGAACTCCAGGAAAGGACCTCAAAGCCCCTTGAAACAGTAACATGTCTTTAGCTTTAGTCCTGTAGTTCCAGGGGTGCTGGTGGTGTGGCGCCACAGTCTAGGGCCACCCCTAGAACTGGGACCTGCTGCCTGGACTCCTCTTATTACTAGAACTTTCCAGAAGCTAAAGACCTCTGAGGGACAAAGTGGCAGTCCCTAGGTGCCGCCAGGTTGCCACAGGCCTGCACCCATCTCCGCAGATGGCCCGCGTGCTGCTGAAACGGGGCTGCGACGTGAACAGCACCAGCTCTGCAGGCAACACCGCCCTGCATGTGGCTGTGATGCGTAGCCGCTTCGAATGTGTCATGGTGCTGCTGACCTACGGGGCCAAGGCCGATGCCCGTGGGGAGCACGGCAACACCCCGCTGCACCTGGCCATGTTGGTGAGCCACGCCCCTCTCCCCCGACCCAGCCTAGCCGCTGCCCGTGTGGTGGGCACATTGAGCTGCGCCCATGTTAACCCTAATGGCACAGGAGCCACTGTTCAGAAGGCTCCGTTTTAGACACACCTCTCCATTTTCCAAGCAAGGAGTCAGGCCCCAGACCAGCATTCAGACCTCTGGGCAGCTGGGCATTTGGTCTGTCCTGGGAAACCATGCTGTGCCCCACCCCTTGCCCAGCATCAGATGTCTCCATGTACCCTGCACCATGTTGTCCGTGAGGAATGTTTCTTTGCACATGAAGGCTGCACCAGGGCGGCCATGTGCTTAGTCACCCTCAGAGTTGGCTCGCCAGGCTAGGTGCGCCTTCCCGGCCCTGCCTGCTGCTCCCAAAAGTGACCAGCCACAGACCTCCCGTGCCCCCTGGTCCCGGGTCCCGGTCACAGATGATTCTTTGGGAAGGAGCTGGTGAGGTGGGGCCTGGAGGCTTCACTTCCAGATTCTTCCTGGTTATTATCCTCCCTGGGGATACTATACATTTGTCCATTAGGGAACCAGCCTTGAATCTATAGATTTTGGGGGTTGAATGGGGGTGGGAGATCAGAAGGGTCCCAGTGTCCCCGTGCTGACGAAAGAGGGGCCCACCGAGTTGATGGGCAGCATGGAAGAGGCCAGGGGTCCCTTTTGTCTTCATTTCCTGAGCCGCTGCCTTCCCCTCTCATTCCATCCTCAACAGAAAGACAACGTGGAGATGGTCAAGGCCCTCATTGTGTTTGGGGCAGAAGTGGACACCCCAAATGACTTTGGGGAGACTCCTGTCACCATAGCCTCCAAGAGTAGCAAGCGTATGTGCTCTGCAGCCTGGGGCCAGAATGGGCGGAAGCGGGGGGCTGCGGAGAGGGGCGGTGGGCCGTGCCATCAGCTCCCAGCATCCTGTCTGCCCCACTTCTCTCCGCCAGTGCCCCAGGTTGCTCCTCACAGTGGCTGAACGCCTCTGGGGGGGCTCCCTAGGGAAGCCTCCTTTTTGCAAACACAGGGACCCCGACTGCTGCATGGAGGCCCAGCAGGGATAGCGAGCTGCCGTCCTCTTCCCTGCAGCCCCATCCCAGGGTGCCAGGGGCCTGTGGGCGGGGTAACCATAGGCAGCAGCAGCAGCTCCGGGGCTTCATTCCTGGGGGGGCGGTGTTCCCTGGTGGAATTGCTTGCAAGAGCAACCGCAGGTCGGGCTGGCCTGGCCCCATGCCTACAGTGCTGGCACAGCCTGTGCCCACGGGCACCTGCACCACTGCATGCTCGCTCCAGGAGACTTAGCTTCAGAGCTGGAGAAAGCTTCTCCTGCCTAGAGACCCGGAACCCCCGCTACAGGGTTTCGGGGAGCTGTGGAGGTTTCTGTGACGGTGGGTGTGCTCCTTGTGGCATCCTCCTCAGGTACCCCATCCCGCAGCTAGGGCAGATGCCCCCTGGCTGGCTGATGAGTCCCTTTTGAGCTCTGAAAGAGACACTTCATCCAGCATTTTTGAGACTTGCTGAGCTCAGGCTGGCAACACCAGCGCCTCCAGTAGTCCTCGGTCACCCCCAGTGCCTGCCCCGGCCCCAGCGCCGCTGGGGTCAGGGCAGCTACACGAACGTGACAGACTAGAGTTCACGGGCCTAGTCAGGGTGGGGTCAGGCCTCTGAGGTGCCCCTGGTGCCCCCACCTACCCAGGGGGCCCGGTCAGTGGGAGAGAGTTCAGTGTGGAAAGGAGGGGCCTCTGACTTGTCCGAGGCAGCACTTCTGAGCCTGTGCCGTCTCGCCTCCCCAACCCTGACAAGTGGTCACCAGGAGGGCGCTCTTAACTCTGCTGAGAACCATAGGGGCCGACCACCGCCTCTCACTCCCCTCGGAGCAGGGCGCCACCACAGCGCAGCACTCCTTCTCCCAGGAGAGAGCTCAGCCCCCACCGGTCAGCCTGAACAACCTAGGTAGGCCCCCTCCCCTGCCCTCCTCTAGCTGGTCCCCAGGTGCCAGGGTCCGAGCAGTCCTGCGGGGTAGGACACGGCCAGGGTAGAGGTTGTGACGGGAGCCAAGGAGAAGGGGAGGATGTGCGAGGTCGCTGGGCCCCTGGCTGAGGGCACACAGGCCGTTGCCCCTGAGAGGATGCCCTGGACATGGTCTCAGACCTGGGCATCCCCAGGGCACCTGTGAGGTGGGAACTCTCACTGCCTCTCCATGTGCCCTGGGAGCACCAGGTAGGCAGTGGGCTCGATGGGGACCCAGAGCCCTCAACCCTCTGGTTTCAACCAATAGAGTTTCTGTCCCACTGCTGGCAGGCCTGTGTGCCCCCCTCTGCCCCCTCCAGTTGACCTACAAGCTTTTGAACTTGGCCCAGCAACCGGTCTGTGCCCAGTGCATCGTAGGTGACCATGAGACAGCCCCAAGGAGATGGGGATCCTCCTCTGGGCTTTCCGAAGGCTGGCCCACCCGGGGCCCTAGAGGGTTTGGGTGTGGGATCCCCTGGACAGGCCAGTCAGGAAGCGATCCTTAGCAAGCGGCCTTTTTCCTTTTACTGCTGGGGATGCAGCAGCCGCTCTAGAAGAGCCCAGCCAGGCCTGGTGCTCAGGAGAGGCCGAGCCCACAGCCACCCTCGCCCTGGCTCTGTCTCCTCCCCGCCCATCCCCAGCCAGGTCCTGCCCCCTCATCCTGATCTCTCAATTTTACAGGTAGTCAGTGACCCCAGCTGGGCTGGATGGTGGGCCTGGGGCAAGTATGAGATGGTAACGCGCTGGGCCTAGAGGGGCCTGCAGAGCCTGGCCATGCCTCGACTTAGCTGTAGAGCAGTTTGCTCTTCTCCTTTCTCTCGGCCACATGTCCAGACACACGCACCTGCCCTGCCACTGTCCCCTGCCTTTCTCGGCCAGTCTCCTGCTTCTCCTCCTACTGCCTGCGTGCTGGCCCTGGCGAGGGGAGGCATGCCGCCCAGTAGCCTCCTGTTTTGCTGCTTCTAGCCACTCAGTGGTGGGAGAGCCTCAGAGCAGGTGCCTTGGCATGGCAGGGCCAGACTTTTGGGGTTGTGCTGCCTGCAGGAGGGTGGCTGATACACTAGGTGGGCATGGCTGGGCCTTGGGCACATGAGAACAGGGGCAGCTGAAGAGTGGTTGGCGCATGTCCCTTCATTCCAGAGTTAGACCCCCAGGAGCATTCTGGCTCAAGCCTTTTAGCTGAATGACCTTGACTGAGTAACATGATTGCTGTCACTGGAAGAGCAGTTCCTACTGCAGTGTTGTCGGCAGCACTGGCCCCATGCGTGAAGCCATGCTCAGTGCACTGCATGTCGGGGGTGCTTGTGCTTCGAGCTTTGGGAGGAAACCCAAAGCTGGTCCAGGGGCTGGCTGGGCATGAGTGGGGGTCCTCCCCAGAGCAGTAGAGTCCCCCTACATTCCAGTCTCCCCCTGAGGGGCCTGTGAGCCCTGGAGACCAGGAATCCTCGCTCTTGCCAGAGGCAGTGGGTGAGGGTACAGCTCCAGTGGGCTCTTGGGACCCAGGACGGGGGCACAGCTGCCTGGCCCCAGCTCACCCCGCCTGTGCCCCACAGAGCTTCAGGACATCGTGCACATCTCCCGGGCCCGGAAGCCGGCCTTCATCCTGAGCTCCCTGCGGGACGAGAAGCGGACGTAAGTAGAAGAGGGAGAGGGCCTGTGCTGCATGCCCCAAGACAGGCTCAGGCTTTTGTCTGGTCTGCACCAGCTGCGAGGTGGCTCAAGAGGCTCATAGAGAAGAGACTGAGTCTAGGGCCTGACTCAGCAACTCTGGGCTCAAGCCTGTTGGCCCCTCCCCCGCCCTGTCTTGGTTGGGGGGCGGGAGGGGAATTGCCCAGCTTCTCCCTGGAGAGGGCCCTCGCCTGCTGCCACGCTGAGTCCCTGGACCTCTCATTGCACCCCACTAACCCTCCTCCCTCCCCAGAGCTACTGCAGTGAGCTGATTCCACACACCTGAGCAGCCCAGGCCCATGCTAGGAGGCAGCCTGGGTGGTGGGTCCAAAGGAAGAAGCCCCAGCCCTATCGTGGAGCACAGGCCCTGGTGCCCAGTGCCAGCGCCTGCCAGCAGGGCAAGGAGCCAGGACAAATGTGCCTCCATGGGCTGCGCTCTCCCCCCCTCTCTTCAAGACAGTTAACTTAGTTGTTTGCTGATTATTACTGGCCTTAGGAAGGCCCCAGTAGCTTCATCTCACAAGTGCAGAACCTGAGTGCCAGGGGAGTGACTCCTCACGGTCACACAGAATGAGTGTCAAAGCAGACACCCACATCCAGGTCTCCCTAGTCTGTGCCTCTCTGCCACTGCCGACTTCTCCTGCTGGGCCCTCAGTGCCAGCCCCTGCAGGGAAGCAGTGCCAGGCAGCTGCAGGGCAAAGCTCTGCCTCTTCTCACCGGAGGCTCGACTTCCTCTTGGCTGCTCCACTCACTTGTGCAGTCATCCTGTGACGTTGCCCTGGGGGTGTCCCTACGCAAAGCACATACTTGCTCACACACACACTTGCACGTGCACACCCACTTGTGCACCTGTGCAGGGTCTAGCGAGGCAGCTGGTGCTGCACCAGAGGGAGGACCAGAGGGAGGACCGACGTGTCGCACCAGCAAGAGGAAAGGCAGGTTCTCCAGTGGAGCAGGGAGTCTGCAGCGTCCTCCCTGGAGCAGCCCCAGCCAGCCAGGACACCCTTGTGCGATCATCCTCGGGTGGCCTGGAAACCATTAGCTCGGCTGGTCCTTCCATTGCCAGTCCTTGTCCTTGAAGGGTCTCTTGCTTGTTTGCTGCAGCCTCTTTACTCAGGGGCCCTGCAGACCTCTAGCCACATGCTGTTACCCTCTAACTTGCTGCAGGGCTGGGGGCTGGAGGTGGTGCTCAGCGCTGGGAGAGCTAGAGAGAGCCGTGGCTCCCCTCAGGGAACCTCCAGTGGGCAGGGGGTGGGGGGAGAACGCTGGTAAACACGTGCACCAGGAGGGGTGAGCCCCAGCAGGCTGGTGACAGGGTCCTGAGGTGGCAGGGGAGGCCACGCTCAGCAGGGGCACATCCGCTGAGATGGAGGGATGGGACCAGAAGGAAGGTTCCAGGTCTGGGAGCTGGGCCCGCCAGACCTGGGGACCATGTCAGGGCCTGTGGGAGCAGGTAACTCAGGAGTGAGCTGCCCGAGGCAGCAGCCTCACTTACCCCACCTGTGACTCTGGGTGGTCATGGACGCCTGAGCTGCATTCCTTCGGGTGTGACAGGGAGTTCTTCCTTGAGGGGGCTGGGAATTGAAGTGAGTTCTTGCTGGCCGCCCTGCCACATCCCACAGGCACTGAGCTCCCCAGTGTTGGGCTAAACATTCCCCCAGGGCTGCTGAGCCTGGATGCTCAGGGGCATGGGCTGGGGAGCTGGTGCTCAGGGCACCCTCTCTCCTGCTGCTGCCCCCACGCAGCCACGACCACCTGCTCTGCCTGGACGGCGGGGGTGTGAAAGGCCTGGTCATCATCCAGCTGCTCATCGCCATTGAGAAGGCCTCAGGCATCCCCACCAAGGACCTCTTCGACTGGGTGGCCGGGACCAGCACAGGGGGCATCCTGGCCCTGGCGATTCTACATGGTGAGGACAGACCCAGAGGGGTGGCGTGGGGGTGACACCTGCCCTCACGGGGGACTGAGTTTGTTTTCCCAGCTTTTCAAAGAAGGCCGTGGGCGAGGAGCGGGCCTGTGAGCCCTCTGGGGGCTCCTGAGAGTTTTGGGGTCAGAGGCTGGAGGGAGAAGAGCGGCCAGGCAGAGCTGATTGCTCTTCGGTGAAGGCAGCCTTTTTTTGTCATTGCTTCAACCACCCTTCCCCAGGCCCCTTGAGGCCTCTAAACCTGCTGGAAATAAGGAAAACCTTTTCAGTTGGTGGATGGGGGAGTCACAGAATCAGCGAAGGCCAGCGCCCTTGTCTGCCCATGTCATTTTACCCGTGGGGAAATGACAGCCCTCAGGGAGGGGAGGCCACAGCCACCTCGCCCGCCTGTGGGGTAGGACCGCCCAGCACTCCCGAGGCTGCCTGCCCAGTCTGCTGTCACTGCTGCATCACGAAGCTGCCTGGGCGCTGCCCTTACTGGACTGACTACTGGACTTAAGTGGTATCTCTTTAGGGAGGCCTCTGGGTGGTGAGATACTGTGAGGGGCCCTCCCCGAGCAGGGTCCAGCTGCCACCCCAATGGGACGTGTCCTTGGCCTCAGTGCCTCTAGCCAACAGCCCTGCCCACATGCTGGTCGGATTCCACACTTTCCGGAACGGCCTCAGACCTGGAGGCCTCCTGAGGGGACCCTCCGCTCCCGGGCCTCAGGACCTACGGCCCAGGCTGGGCTGGGAGGGGGGCGGCACAGACCGCTGGGTGCTCACTGTGTGAGGAGGCCACACCGGGCAGTCCAGGGCGCACGGACACAGGGCACCACCAGCCTAGAGGGCAGCTGAGAACAACTTGCCGGGACCATGTTGCCATAGTATTGAAAGTCTACTGCCTGGCACTTCCCTGGGTTTTAAGAATTCTCACCTTGGGCCTGTGAAGTTACAGATGGGAAACTGAAGGCCAGAGAGGGTCACCCAGGCAACCAGGGCAGAGCCAGCATCTCTGTCTACGTGCTCCCCATGGCTCCAGGCCCCAGAGCTCCAGCTGGGGTGGTGCCTGGGTGAGCCCAGCCCTGTGCCGCAGTGCCCACCGTGGCAGCCTCTGGTTCCCGCAGCCGGCTGTTGGGGGCCAGCCCTGGCGTCTCCCCCACATCCCTCCACCCCTGTTCCCAGGCAAGTCCATGGCCTACATGCGTGGTGTGTACTTTCGCATGAAGGACGAGGTGTTCCGGGGCTCGCGGCCCTACGAGTCAGGGCCCCTGGAGGAGTTCCTGAAGCGGGAGTTTGGAGAGCACACCAAGATGACGGACGTCAAGAAGCCCAAGTAAGCTCCAGGGCAGGCGCCCTGCTTGGCCCCTCAGCTCTCCCCAGGTCCTGGTCTGTAAAAGGTGGGTGACTGGTGTGAGGGGCTTCTCCTGGGGAACATGGTGGAAACCCTCTGCCCATGGCTGATGTTCCCACAAAAACACCATGTCCCTGGGTTAGAGGGGTTGGTGTGAGTGGAGGGGTGTGTGTGTGTGTGGGGAGATTATGTGTGTGTGGGGTGGGCGGGGGCAGGCTGACGAGCTGCTTCCAGTCTGGGCAGGAGAGGAGTGATGTGAAAAGGCGGCAGCCATGTGAAGTGGTGTGTGTCTGAGGTTCCCAGAAGAGCCTACAGCACTGCTCCTTCTCCGTGGTTCCCCCACCCCACCAACTGTATTGTCTGCCTCACGCTGTCTCACCGGCTCAGTGGGCGCCCCTGAAGCTGGAACATGACCAGTTGTAGCTGTAGTCCCAGCATCTAGCCCAGTGCCTGCCCCACTGACTGACCGTCCATCAGAGCAAGAGGGAGGGAGCACTTCTTGGAGGAAGTGGAGTACGAGGGAGTCCTAGAGGGTGCGGTAGACCTTTATTCATAAAAAGACTTTTTTTTTAAACTTTTTTCCCCTCTACCACGCTACTCATGCCTGTGCTCCATCTGCCTCCCTCCTCCACCCCTCCACACTTTCCCACACTTTTTGCCGTGTTTAAATTTTTATTCCTTCTGTTGTTTGCATGTTTTTTGGGAATTTATAGTCCACAGATGAGGGAAACCATGTGAAATCTGTCTTTCACTTTTTGACTGATTTCACCCAACATAATTACCTTGAGGTCCATCCATTTTGTCCCAGATGCCACCATTCCATCTTTCTTCACAGATGTGTAATATTCCATTGAGTATATGTTCTGTGGTTTCTCTCTCCATTCATCTGTTGAAGGGCTCTTGCGCAGGTGCCATGATTTGGCAATTGTAAACAGTGCTGCTATGTGCATAGGTGGAGAGAGATCTTACCATATTAGATTTTTTCGTATTCTTCTTGTAAGCTATTTTTGGGTAAATAGCTACTAGCGGTATTGCTGGGTCATGTGGAATTTCCATTTTTATTTTCTTGAGAAATCTCCACATCGTTTTGCACACAGGTTGTGTCACCTTGCATTCCTACCAACAGTGGATGTGAGTTCCTTTCTCACCACAACCTTGCCAACATTTGTTAATTCTCTTCTTTTTTCTATGGGCCATTCTCATAGGGTTGAGGTGGTATCTCAGTATGGTTTTAATTTGCAATACTCTTATAATAAGTGATATTGAGCATTTTCTCATAAGTCTGTAGGCTGTCTGAACATCTTCTTTCAAGAAGGCCCTTTACCCATTTTGTAATTGTGTCGCTTGTTTCTTTCTTGTTGGTTGTGTCACTACTTTGTACATTTTGGAGAGTAACCCTTGTCAGATGTATGGTATACAAATATTTTTTTCCCATTCTGTAGATTTCCTTTTTGTTTTTGTGATGGTTCCTTTTTTTTTTTTAAGATTTATTTTAGTTATTTATGCATACAAGAGCTGGGGTACAGGCCAGAGGTGCTGGAGGTGAGAGGATTCACCAGAGACAGAGTGGGGAGCAGAACAGGCAGATCTACTGAAATACACTGCTGAGGGGAGCAGTGGGGAGACAGGAGAGGTCTGCTGCGCCGTGTGGGTTGCTCTCTGGCCAGGGATAGAACTTGTGCTGCAGAAGCTGCAGATAGCTTCATAGTGCTGAGGCTTAACCCCTTGTGCCACCAGGGAGGCCCTTGTGGTTTCTTTTGAGGTATAAAAGCTTTTAAGTTTGAGGTAGTCCCACTTGTTTATTTTTGCTTTTGTTTCCCTTGCTGTTGGGTCGTTTTCCCAAGTGCATCTTTGTGGCAGCTGTCCTGTCGTGTGTCCTCTATATTTTCATTTGCGAATAGTGACAGTTTTACTTCTTTCCCAATTTGGATTCTGCCGGGGACCAGCCTCTGGCAAAATGTCGTGTCAGGGGTTCCTGAAAGGATGAGACGGCCTCGGCGACCTGTAAGGGGCTGAAACTTAAGGGCTGAAGGGAAGGGGATGAGGTAGCGAGGAGACACTAACACTTAGATGAGGTGCAAGTATCTTCTGCCGAGAGACTCAGCAGGTCTTTATTTATTCATTGTTAGTAAGCAGAAAAAAAAATACATTGTCATGTGTAAAGCAGAAACAATTAGTGTGTTTTATTCCCATGGACTACTGGCTCCTACGGGTCCCAGCCAGACCTAACACTAAAACTTATTTTTTCAGCTAGACAATTATCTAAGACAGTGGATACCCACCAGTGCATCCCTATCAGCTAAAGCCTAAGCATCAAAAGACTTATTCACATGGCCTTCAGTCAGAGACCAGCTGCTACACAGCTATCAGAACTTTTTCCACCTACAAACTTCTAGAGGCATGCTTTATTTATTTGTTTGCTATACATGCACTGGGTACAGTCAGAAGCGCAGGGCGAGAGAATCACCAGAGCCAGAGCGGGGAGCAGAGCAGGCAAAGACCGAAGCACACTGCTGAGGGGAGCAAGGAGACTGCGCGCCATGTGGGACCCTCCTCCGGTGGCCGGGGAGCAGCCGGGGATCGAACCGGCGCCGCAGAGGCCGCGCGCAGCTTCGCAACCCAGCGCTCACCGCTTTTCCACCTACAAACTTCTTAACACAGTTAACTTCATTTAAAAACTTTCCTAAGAAACTTCTAAATAAAAGGAACTTCTAAAAAAGCAAAAGGAGGACTTACTATAATAGTTGTGCTGGTTTGCTTGTCAGATATGTACAATAAATCATCTCCCATTGTCAAGTGGGCCAAATTGTTTAATAACTAATGTCTAAACAGGTAATTTTCCATGCCAATTGCTTGCAGCCTACTGATACATATAATTTATTGCCTAATGTACTTTTCTGATAAATTTTTCTCTTTTTATGACCAAGAACAAAAAATGAAGGAATGTTAGATCTTCAGCCCCACGGTGTGAGGCACAAGGAATCTTCAGCCCCACGGTGTGAGGCCCTTTACCTTCCAGTGTCTTATCTGGCTGGGACATCAAGGCCTCCTACAGCAGGATTCCTTTTGTCTTTTTTTTTTTTTAAGATTTATTTATTTATTTATACAAGCACTGGGCACAGTCAGAAGAGCGGAGGGTGAGAGAATTCACCAGAGCCAGAGTGGGGAGCAGAGCAGGCAGAAGGACCGAAGTACACTGCTGAGGGGAGCAGCGGGCGGCAGGAGAGGTCTGCGCGCCATGTGGGACCCTCTCCAGTGGCCGGGGATCGAACCGGCGCTGCAGAGGCTGAGGGCAGCTTCACAGCCCAGCGTTCAACCGCTGTACCACCAGGAGAGGCCCACCTTTTATGTCTTTTTTTTGCCTAATTGCTTAAGCTAAGACTTCAAAACTATGTGGAATCACCATGGTGATAGTGGACTTTCCAGTCTTGTTCCTGATCTTAGTGGAAATGCTCTCAGCTTTTCACCATTGAGTATGACATTGGCTGTGGGTTTGTCATATATGTTTAATATATAATGTTTATTTTTTAATTATTTTAATATATAATTGTTATTTATGCATACAAGAGCTGGGGTACTGGCCAGAGGTATGGGGTGCTGAGAGGATTCAACAGAGACAGAGCGGGGAACAGAACAGGCAGAGTGACCAAAGTACACAGCTGAGGGGAGCAGCAGGCGAGCCAGGAGAGGTCTCCTGTGCCATGTGGGCTGCTCCCTGGCTGGCCAGGAAACAAACTCGTGCTGCAGTGGCTGCAGACAGCTTCATAGGTTGCATCTTAACCCCCTGTGCCACCAGGAAGGCCCAATATATATAATGTTTAAATAGGTTCCATTTAGTCCCATTTTTTGGAGTTTTTAGCATAAATGGATATTGGATCTTGTTGAATGATTAACCAAAAGACAAACTCTTGAAAGAAATTTTGTATATTTTATTCTAGACACTTTTTCTCTTTATTGGGATGAACTAGAACATGCCTTTAGCAAAGTACATGAAGCAGTTCATTGAATAATTATGAAGAAAATACCCGCCTAACCACCAACCACATCCAAAGCTCCTTGCTTGTGTCTCTCCCCACACTTCCGCCCCCCACCCAGCTCCTGCCTCCTGCTGCCCCACCATTTCTGAGTGGTGACAGGATGTCCTGGCTTCTTGGTGTGGTTGAAGAAGCACCAAGTGAGGGAAGGAGCCACGCAGCGTGGTTGGACGTGGGCGGGTCTTGCTTGTCTCTGGGCTGCAGTTGTCTCGCCTTCCCCTCCATCCTGCGCTGGGCAACGGGGTGGAAGCTGTCACCGTGGGGGCGTCCATCAGGCCAACCGCCTCGGTACATTCCTCCCCCGTCCCTGGGACACCTGGGTTGGTGCCGTCAGGCACTCTTGCCGGGAGAGGCTGTTTTCTGGCTTGGGCATGTGCGAGTTTCCCCGCGATGTCAGCCTTGGAACAAGCTGCTGGGTCTCAGGGCACCCGGGCCTCAACTCTGAGAGAGTCTGCCCAACTACTTTCCAAAGTGGGGGCTTCTCCTTTCACCCCGTTAGCAGAGTTTGCTCTGCATTCTCTCCAGTGTTTGATTATCGGCCAATATTTTCATCCTCGCCAGTGGGGGTGCTGTAAAACATGTTGGGGGGGCCTCCATTTGCTTTATATTTTCATTTTCCTGCTTAGAAGGCTGAACGCCTTTTCATTTGCATGGAGGCCACATGGATCTCCTGTTCAAGTATTTTGCCTATTTTGGGCAAAATTGGGATATGTGATTTTGGGGCCAGAAAACTTAATGATCTTTTTCATATTTTGAAAACTAGTCCTGATGGATCACGGTTTTGGGATCACTTCCCCGCCGCTGTGGCTTGTCTGCTCACGCTCTCCATGGGGTTTTGTTGCGGAACGGATGTTCTTGATATAGTAGAATTTATAAATATTTCCCTTTGTATAGTTTGTGCTTTTTCTGTCTCTCTTAAGAACCACTTCCTCAGCCTGAGGCAGGAAGCTGCTTTCCTGTGTCAGGTCAGAAAACTCTCCAGAGCTGCCTTTCCAGCTTAGCACATTCCTCCACCTGGAACTGATTTTTGTGTCCAGATTCTTGTGTCCACACGGATAAGCCGGTTCCCAGTTTCATGGGCGCAGAGTGTCTCTCCTCGGCTTCAGGCCCTACTTTCTCCGCACTGGGCCAAGGGCCCTTGCTGGGGGTCTGTTAGGGCCGAACCACAGCGCTTCACTAAATCTTAGGATCTGGGTGGCGGGGCCACCTCTGTCCTTGTATGTTTGTTTTCTGTTTCATTAATCTCTGTTTTTATATACTTACTCCTGTTGATACTTTCTTTGGGTTTTCTTTTTGTTTTAATAACTCTGTGACCTGAGGGCCTGTGCTGTTTCATGCCAATTTTTTAAAAGTTGTTCAGACGGCATCTGTGGCTTCCACATTCAGTTTCTGGAAACATCCTCGTGCACTTTCAAAGAAGTTGGATTCTGCGTTAGTTGGCTGCCAAGTTCTATACTTGATCAAGTTGTATTGGCTAAGACCACTGTTTAAAATTTCCAAATCTGCCATATCTTTACTAATCCTTTGTCTGCTTTTTTCTCAGTTTCTAAGAGAGGTTTGCTGAATCTTCTATTGTGAGGATTTGCAGTTCTGCCCCCCCCTTTTTTTTTTTTACTATTTTTTATATTTGGCACTATGCTGTTAAAGGGCATGTGAGCTTAAATGTTGATGTGTCTTTCTGGTGATGGGAAGCTCATAATTAAGCAACATCCCTCTTTATCTGTAGGAATTTTTTTGTCCTTCAATCCCATTTTATGTGGTGTCAGTATAGTTACCCCGGCTCTCCTTGGTGATATCTGCATAGTCTGTCTGTGCTCACCCTTTAGCTCCCCCTTCTTGAATCCTTAGGTTCTAAGTATATCTCTTATATACAACATGTAGGTGGAGTTAGTCTCTAATCTGCTGCTCTCTTTCTTACCTGGAATATTTAGTCCTTTTATAGGTTTGTAGTTCATAGTTATAGCTTTATTTCAGCTAATTAGTGAGGTCTGATTGAGCTGATTGGCTTGACTATCAGGACCTTCAGCGGATTAATATCACAGTTTGTGATATTCATTGATGGCTACATGATGACTGAGGTATTCGGGATAACATGGATCATCCTGTTTTGTTCTTTTTCTCTTTCTTGCCTTCTTTTGGATTTACTGAATACTTTCAATTACTATATCCCACCATCTCCCAGTAGCTTGAAGTTTGCACTTGTTCATTTTTAGTGCATACATAACTTATAAAAGACTAAATTTAATTGCTCCCACTACCCTCCCCTCAGATAATCAAGGATTTTTAAATACTTTAATTCCATATACCCCCTTATCTTAATTATTTTCTGTATTGTAAATCTATTTTTTTGCTAAGCCTTACAAGACATTATTATTATTATTATTATTTTAAAAGTTGGTGTTCATTTAGATTTATTCAGACTTATCCAGTGGCGTGCTGGTAAGCCAGATCTCTAGGGGAAGAAGCCCTGATTTATGTTTTCAGTTCCCACAGCATAAATCCTCCCACAGTGTCTGATGTCAGCTGCCAGCAGTCTGGCCACAGGCCATGAGGGTGGCAGTAGGTAGGCTCCCACAAACCACCATGAGTGGCTGTAGCACACGTGGAGTTTGGATATACAGCTGCATAGGTGTGTGTGGGTGTTCATATGTGTTTGTATGAATCACTTTCTTGCACCCCAAACTTTGCTCTGTGACCACTTTCCTTCTGTCTAAAGTACATCCTTTTGGCTTTCCCCTAAAGAGGGTCTATCCGTAGTGAATTACCCACCAGCAGGATCATTTGAAATTATTTCAATCTTCCTGAGTGACCCGTCCCTCCTTTTTTTTTTTTTTTTTTTTTTGCTACTCTCCTTTTCATCTTTTTTTAGCAGACTGTATTTTTATTTTTATTTATTTTTAAACAATATTTGTTTCCCTCCACTCCCTCAGATTGAATCCCCATAGAATTTCCTTCCCCAAGGCACCCCTGCACCATCACCACAGTCCTCTGTGCTCCTCCCTCCATCCCTCTGATCCCTCTCCCTCCTCTGTCCCTGCAGGATGTCTCTGCTTTATAATTGTCTGTTTTTGCTTTGTTGTGTTTTGTACTGTTATTATTATTATTTTTTTACACTGATGTCTTATTTGGTTTCCCTATATTCCTATTATAAGTGAAACCATCCGGTATTTTTCTTTTTCCTTCTGGCTTATTTCACTGAGCATAATTCCTTCTAGCTCCATACACGTTGCTGCGAATGGCATGAGTTTATCTTTTTTGATTGCTGAATAATATTCCATTGTGTATATATACTACATCTTCTTGATTCAGTCATCTATTTTTGGGCATTTGAGTTGTTTCCAGGTTTTACCTGTTGTAAATAGTGCTGCAACAAACATAGACATACAGGTGTTCTTTTGAATCACTGTTTTTGTGTTCTTTGGGTAGATCCCTAGTAGTGGAATTGCCGGGTCGTATGGTAGCTCCATTTTCAGTAGACTGAGGAACCTCCACACAGCTCTCCATAGTGGTTGGACCAGTCTGCACTCCCACCAGCAGTGCAGAAGAGTTCCTTTTTCTCCACACCCTCGCCAACATTTGTTGTTGCTTGCTTTTTTGATATTAGCAGACTATTTTTAAAAAGCAATATACATGTAGCCACAATCTTAAGCCCGTGGTGTTCCTTGGTGTTAAAAAACCATATGTGAGGCCTTGAATGAGACTCTCTTCCTCCAGAGTATCTCAGATTCTCCCTTCCAGGTACTTGGGTACCTGCCATCCGGGGCCACCCAGACTAACTTCATGAGGACTTCCCCCACGTGATGTGAATTTAGGTGACAAATCTGCAAGAGGGTTAGCTTATGGTTTTATGTTTGTTTTTTTTAAAGATTTATTTATTTATGCATACAAGAGCTGGGGTGCAGGCCAGAAATGTGGGAGGGTAAGAGGATTCACCAGAGACAGAGTGGGGAGCAGAACAGGCAGAATGACTCAAATACACTGCTGAGGGGAGCAGTGGACGAGGCAGGAGAGGTCTGTCTCACCCTGTGGGTTGCTCCCCGGCCGGCCGAGGATCGAACTCATGCTGCCGAGGCTGCGGATAGCTTCATAGTGCAGTGCTTTAACTCCTTGCGCCACCAGAGAGGCCCTGTGGGTGTATGTTTTCAGGGACTTTTTTTTCTTCCTCCTTTGCCTACTGCCAAGGCCACTTCCCTCACAGCTGCCAGGGGTGGGAAAGGAGCAGGTTTATCTCTAGTTCACCTTTACCTTAAGAGTGTAGCCCTTTGGGGTCCCAACCTGATGTGAGGGTATCTCCCATTAGACCCCTAACCTTTGCTGGGCCCTGGGCTTTGCCTTCTGCCCATCTGGCTCCACGAGGCATCGATACTGACATCCACGTTTGCTGCGTTTGCTGTCTCCTTTCAGTACAAGGCCGGCTCTGCGCTACTTTTACTTTTGGGGATTCTCACCCTCAGAGCTCACCTCTCTTATCAGGTCTTTGATCCTTCTAAGATTTTTTTAAAATGTTTTCTCAGGACCTAGTTTTTTGTGGCAGGGTTGCTTAGTTACCCTTTCCATGGTGTCCCAGGCTGGGGCGCTGAACTCTTCCCTGCACAGAGGCTATTTCCCCCTTTCCTTTCTATTTTTCTTTACAGCATAAAAAATACACATCGGCGTCACTCTGAGCGCCTTGCAAGCATCGCTCTGAATAGCTGCAAAACTCCCATCGCGTCCTTACCCGTGCCTGCTGCCGCCAGAGTGCTGCTTCCCGCTCTGCTCACTGTGGCAAGCCGCATACAGGGGAGCACGTGTCGCTGAGATGACTTGTTAGGGGGCATTTTCCAAGTGAAATTCCCAGAGCGAAGAGGCCCAACGTGTGTCAGGGTCTTAATACATGTTCATCCTTAGGGGGCTTCGTCGGCGCACGCTCCCCGCAGGGCTTTAGGGTGTCACCTGCATCGGTCAGCATCGGCGGGAGCCTTTGTCAGGAGGTTCCAGCCGCACGTGGTAGGACATGGAAGGGGCACAAAGGCGACATGGTGAAAAGTCGCCTCTCACTCTCCTCCCGGAGCCACGGCTCAAGTCAGCTCGTGGTTGCCAGGCGCCCCTCGTGGGTCCTTCCAGAGTTACCCTCTGGCCAAGCAAAGGGTACATAGGCTTAAAAAAAACCCTTGGTGGCCCGGCCACACTGTCCTGCTTTCCACGTAGCCTTCACCTCGGTGCCCACTGCCAGCCCACACAGGCGTCCCTGCTCACCCTGCGTGACCCCAACCCGCTGGGTGGGCAGGGTGGCGCCTGGGCCGCCCGCCGACGTCCCACTGCGACAGAGGGCGCTCCCGTCCTCTCCAGGGGTTGCTGTAGTGGCTGTTTGCAGCCTGTGCGTGTCCAGCTCCCACGTGGAGTCTCAGGATGTGTTCCCAGGATCGTCTGCGGGGCTCGCTGGCCCCTGATAGCTGCTGTCCGCGCCTGGGACGACAGCGGAGTGTGAAGGGAGGACACGGGCAGTGACGCCAGGTGTCCCGCCCCTTCTCGCTCCTCTCCAGGGTGATGCTGACGGGGACGCTGTCTGACCGGCAGCCGGCCGAGCTCCACCTCTTCCGGAACTACGAGGCCCCGCAGTCCACACGGGAGCCTCGCTTCAGCCAGAATATCAACCTAAAGCCTCTGACTCGGCCCTCAGGTTAAATGCGTGTTTAGTGAATCTGTGGGATTTTTTGGCCTGAGAAGCCGTGGGGCGGGAGTTGTAGGCCTCCCCCCAGGCATCCCAGGCCACCACCTTCCCACCCGCTGCCTTGTCTGCTCTCCCGGGTCTTTACAGCTGAGGCCCAGGGTGCTGCCAGGCCCGCGGCACCTAGAGGAGGTTCCTCGGCCACTCCCTGCCTTCCACCAAGATGGTGGGGCGGACGCCACAGCCTTGTGGGCCTGCTCCTCAGAGTTCCCAGCCTCTCCCTCTTCCCGCAGCCGTGTTTACACACACAGGCTCACACACATGTGCACGCATCCCCTGGGATCTGAGGTGCAGGGTTTTATACCAGCCCTTTGTGTCACCTGGCCATACTCCTCTCCCCACCCCCAGACCAACTAGTGTGGCGGGCAGCCCGAAGCAGTGGGGCAGCCCCCACCTACTTCCGGCCCAACGGGCGCTTCCTGGATGGCGGGCTGTTGGCCAACAACCCCACGCTGGACGCCATGACCGAGATCCATGAGTACAACCAGGACTTGATTGGCAAGGTGAGCGCTGCTTCAAGTTGGAGGGACTGCCCGTGACCGCCCACTGCCGACATGACACCCCATTTCCACAACTGTGAGGATTGACTCCTCGGGGAGCCGTTGGTTTTGTTCGTACACTCATTCATTCGTGCAGCCACAGAAATTTTTGCTCACGTTGAACTTGCTTGATTGGTGCTGTCTCCTCAAAGTATTGTGTTTAGAGGGGTCCTGAGGACCCATCTAAATTAAGGGGTGAAGAGTGTCATGTTTGGTTACAGGGTCTGCACGGGTGGGTGGGCAGCAGGCACGCCAGGTACAGCCCTGCCAGTCACAGTCACCCCCCCACCCCCAGACTAGCGCCTGCCCCAGGGGCTCACCTCCAGGGGACCCTCCCTCCAAGTTTCTAGTGCTGTGAGAGGACCGTAGCGGGCCTGGGGCTCAGCAAGAGCTCACAGAGGAGGGGGCCCCATCAGGAGAGCTTTGGGGACTGCGCAGTGCAGACTTAGTGACAGGGAAGAGAAGTGGCTCTCGGCCCCAGGGGCTCAGCAGGGCGATGTGGCCCAGGCAGGCTTCCGCAGAGGTGAGAGCGGGGCCCAGAACCAGGGTTTTGCCTGACTCTGCCCCTGCTTCACTCAGCCATTGCTGGAGATTGTCACAGGCTTCCACACTCTTATCTGTGAAGTTCTAGGACAATGCGGCACCCAGGCACCCTATCCTTGCTGACTGGGTCATCAGAGAGTCCCAGATGTAGCTCGGCCGTCAGAGACAAGCGCCCTCTAGGGGCCAGACACAGCAGGGCAGCCTTCCTGCAGGAGGGCCTCCCCGCTGTCTGAGCACCTCATAGAGTGGGTGAGGGCAGGGGTGCCCAGACAAATGGCACAGCTTGTTCTGCAATGAAGGAGGCAGCACTGGCTGCACTGCTGCCCCAGGAGACCAGTGACCCCCTCACTATCCCCAGGACCCCACTGTGGGCCTCTATCACCCCTGGGTGCCCCCCCCCACCCAAGGAAAGATTCAGGGGGTGGGAGAACATCTCCTTCAACTACCCCTATCTGTTCCCACCAGGGTCAGGGTGACAAGGTGAAGAAACTCTCCATCGTCGTCTCTCTGGGCACAGGGAGGGCCCCCAGGTGCCTGTGACCTGTGTGGATGTCTTCCGCCCCAGTAACCCCTGGGAACTGGCCAAGACGGTTTTTGGGGCCAAGGAACTGGGCAAGATGGTGGTGGACTGTGTGAGTATAAGCCCCCTCCCCAGGTCAGTTTCCCAGACCTCAGCTCAAGGCGGTGTTCTCAGCCCCTCTGTGGAATGGCAGGGCTCTGTCAGCCCATTCTAGTTAGCCAGCTTGAGCGGTAGAGTCCCCTGAGTCAAGATCTTGTGCTGACAGGGGCCCTCAGTGACCACCTGCCATGGGGGTTTTCATGCATCCTTTAGCTGCAGACCCGCCTGTAAGGAAGCCCAGAGTGTCCCTTGGACAAAAGCTGTAGCAAGTGCAGACATGAGGCCCAGCCCCTCAGTATGTCCCCCTACATGCTCACTGGCCCTGAATGGGTGCCACTGCCCCTCCTGAGACCAGGGCCCCTCTGATGCACAGCTGGGAAGTCACTGTGGCCCAGGCAGCGGACTCGCCCGAAGTCACTGCTGATGGCTGGCTAACCAGACTAGGCTAGAGCCTGGGGCCCTAGGCAGGGGCTGTGGGGCCGTGTGGGCTGGCCACTCACAGGGGCTGCTTCTCGCCAGTGCACAGATCCAGATGGGCGAGCTGTGGACCGGGCCCGGCCTGGTGTGAGATGGTGGACATCCAGTACTTCAGGTGAGGGCTGAGCACCTCACCCGGCCTGCTGAACCTGGGGACCTTCCCCACCCCAGCCCCTGCATGGACCCCCTCCCCCCAGGGGCTGCCGTATGCCCCATGGCTGCCATGTGTCCCAGGCCTGCCCCAGGCCTAGCTCTCGTCCCCACCCAGGCAGAGCATCCTGGGGTGACCACTCCTCCTTGCCCCGGACAGATTGAACCCCCAGCTGGGGGCGGACATCATGCTGGACGAGGTCAGCGACATGGTGCTGGTCAACGCTCTCTGGGAGACCGAGGTCTACATCTACGAGCACCGCGAGCAGTTCCAGAAGCTCATCCAGCTGCTGCTCTCACCGTGAGGCTGCCAGGCCCAGCTGTGCCTGCCCGGGCCAGCTCCCCTCCACAGACTGGCCTCGAGGGCACCAGTGCCTGGCCCATGGCTGGTCCCGAAGGCCCCTGTTCCTCTGTCCCCACCTCTGGCACTGTTTGTCATTCAAGGCTGCCTGTCTCCAGCAGTCCGCGCCTCACTGGGGCCCTTGCCCTGGTCACCAAGGACAACTAGTTCTTGGGCCCTCGCCCCATCTGCTCAAACACTAAGGGTGCCGGTGCACCCCAACCCTAACTCCCAGGGGCTCTAGGCTCTTCCTGGTCCCCAGGGGGTACAGCTGCTCCTCCCATCCCCTGCCCTCATCCCTGGAGGTGGGGGCTAGAGAAAAGGGCCATCGCCCCACCCCATCAGCAGGGACACTCCAGGAATGGGGTGCTGCATTCGACTTTGCACCCCCACACACACCCAGCTGCCGGCCCTCCCCCAGCTGCCCCACCCCGCGAGTGCTTCTTGGCGATTTCACTCATTATTGTCCCTGGCAGGAGGTGGTTTATGACCGGGGAGGGGCTCTGGGGCTGCCTCCAACCTCAAATAAACAGCTCGGCCAGGTGCACCCGTGTTGTGTGCCATGGTGTGCGGGCCCACTCCCCCGGCCAGCTCCCTGCCCTGGCCGCCATCCTCCCGTGCCTACTGGCCAGGATCCCTTGGGTGGGGTCACCCCTTCTCTGGGCCTCCCAAGTCAGACCTGGGAGGTCATCGAAAGGTGGCAGCCAGACAGGCCCACGTGCCCCACGGTGGGGTTCAGGGAGACCCCCATTTGCCCAGGGAGGGGTGAGGCCCAGAGAGGGCAGGGAGCTCTGCAAGGTTGGCCCCCAGCTCTGAGCTCCCCCCGACCCCTGCAGCAGGCCAGGCCAAGCTGCTGGTGGGTGGGACAGTCTCGCCTTTGGGGTGTGTTCAGCCTTCCGAAGGGTCAGGGCGGAGTGGCCTGACCGCAGCGATGGCCTTCGGGTGCGTTCAGGTTTTGGGGGCCGGCTCTGTTGGGGAGGGTCCCGGAGGAGGGTGCTGAGCAGCTCTAGCCCAAGAGGGAGGGCAATGCCCAGAATAGGCAGGCAGCGGGTGGGGATCCCCCTGGAACTGGGGCCCTGACTGGCCTGGGAAGCCTCGTCCCTGAAGAGATGCGGCCCGTCCGTTCGTGCCCACCGGCCCGGGGCTCAGAGGGGTAAATAATTGAAGGGCAGGTCACACGAACCCGCTCGTCACAGGATGCCTTCCCGGGTCCGGTTACGCCCCAGATGGCGTTCTGACATCCCTGGCTGGTGAATAATTAAGCTGCCGCCTCCTTCCCGCCCCCTTCTGCCACTTCCTTCCCTGCCCGCTGAGCAGTGGGCAGCAGAGCACCGGCCCCAGCGCTCCTGCCCCGCCAGGTCCGCCAGCCTCCTGCCCGCACCGGGTGCTCCCCGCTCATGGCCCCCGAGATGGACCAGTTCTACAGGTCCACCGTGGCCATCTACAAGGTGAGCGCCAGCCAGGCCCGGCGGGGCTCCGCTCCCAGGGCACGCAGGTCGGGCCTGCTGCCGAAGACAGGGTGGACACGGCTGCGGCGTGTTCTGGGAGGGAGGCCCGGAGCCTGCTGGGTTGAACTGGGGCGAGGGTTGGGATCTATGAGGACAGTCAGCACCCAACCCGAGGCCCTCAGGGCCGTCTGCCTCAGGCTGGGAGCCCCCAACTCCCAAACTCTGGGCAAGGCAGGACAAGCAGGGGGCCTGCAGTTGGGGGCAGAGGCCCGTGGAGCCACCTGGCCCCGGAGTGGGGGTTCTCTATCCCTGAGTCTCACTTTCCCTCTGCTCTGTCATCTCCGGGGCCTTCCCTCACACTTCCTGCTCCGCAAGAGGGGGCGGCTGCTCTCTCCATGGACATCTGTTCCGTACCTGTGGTGTGTGGGATCCCTTCGCACACCCTGCCTACGGCGGGGGAAATAGTCACCCCATTTGATAGATGAGAAAAGCAAGGCCAGAGAGGCTAAAAGTCTGTGCCAGGTCACAAGGGAAGAAGGGAGAGGGGTCACCGGGATTGGCAGCAAGACCCAAGTCTAAGTCCCAGCCCAGGGGTCTCCACGGTGCAGCTGGCCATGGCCTCGTTCCGGGGGCTCCTGAGAGGGCAAGGTCTGCCCTGGACACTGAGGCGACTGTCTAGCCCAGTGTCCAGCCCGGCAAGGCCTGTTCTCAGGACAGGGCTGGGCCACGGCCAGATGGGGGCTGTGCCAGGCAGGCAGGCTTCCCCCAGAGAAGTCACTTCCAGGTGACTGTCTGGGAGCGAGGTCCCGCCAGGACAGGTGTGTGAACAGGAACTGGCCCAGGGGACCCTGGCTGGAACGGGAGCCCAAGATAAGGCCTCTGAGGCCTCTGCAGCCAAGAGCCCGATGTGGGGAGACCCCAAGTTTCTAGATGGACTTCCCTGGAGTTGGAAGCCACTCACCGGGGCTGGGGTGCCCTGCTCCTGAGGCCTGGTCCTCCTTCCTCTCCCAACCTCGCTGCTCTGTCCCATGTTCCTTGGGCTCCAGAGCATCATGGAGCAGTTTAACCCTGCGCTGGAGAACCTGATCTACTTGGGGAACAACTACCTCCGGGCCTTCCATGGTGAGTGCCTGGCTTCAGGCGCCAGCCCCTTAGTACCACGCCCCCTTCCACCTGACCCTAGCACACAGACCTGCCCCCCACCCATATTGTCTGCACCCCACACCAGACACTCCACCCATCCTCACCCCTACACACTCCTAGCCACCACCGTCACCCTCACACCCCTGCAGCCGAGACCCCCTCACACAACCACAGCTTCCTGTGCCCTCTCCTGCAGGGGCCCCTGGAGCTCCCAGGGTACACTGCCCTGCCCCGTGGGTTCTGCACACCCCAACAACACGTAGGTCGTGCCAGTGGGTGCTGCTGGGAACCCGCCGCCAGGCCTACCTCTGCACCCAGCCTGCCACTGTGCCCGAGCATTCTCACCCCTCCAGGCCCATCCACACACCCACAACCAGACCTTACCACCCACTCGCTGCCCATGAAACACCTGCCCTCCCCCCACTTCCTAGCAATCCCTCCACCGGCATCAAGCAAAAGAGGGAGCAGGCCCTGTGACCGACAGGCCAAAGGCATACCCAACCCCGCCCTGCCCTTGGGGACTTGAGCTTCAAAACCCTTCTCCTCTCTGAGCCCCCACCCCATGCCCCTCCCCCTACACTCCCCAACACTCTGGCCCACACCTTCCTGATGCCTGTGCCCTCACCCCAAGACATGCTTGCCCCATCTGGTTCAGGGCCAGACCCTGGGCCCCCACGGAGCACCCCCATTCTGCCCCCTCTCTCCTGGTCACCACCGCTTCTCCACACACCACCCAGGGCCTCCTCCTTCTCCCTCCACCTCCGCCAGGGGTGCCCTACAGTGACCCTCACATTGTTTGAGGGAAGGAGGATCCCAGAGGCGGGGGCTGGTGGAGAAGGCCGTGGGATTGGACCACCCCTTCTTGCCATGCAGCTCTGTCCCAGGCGGCCGAGGTGTACTTCACCGCCATCCAGAAGATCGGGGAGCAGGCCCTGCAGACCTCCACCTCGCAGATTCTGGGTGAGGCGCTGCCTGTCCTCTACACCCCCCTCACCTCGCGCCTGAGGGCCACTCCTCCCAGCCCACCCCACCCTACACCCCTCTAGATCCCAGGCCTGGTTCCCTGCTGTCCCTGTTGTGGCCTGGGGCCTGTCTGGCCCACTATCCTGGAACCCCAGAAGGGTTCGCACTCCTGGGAAATGCCTTCCACAGGATTTGCCACCCAAGGCCATGGCCCAGACTCTCACTGGGGAGCCCAGCCACTCCCCACCACTCCCTGCGGGATTGATCCAGGGCGAGGACCATGGACCAGCAGGGGCTGCAGGACTTTGGTCCTGAAATCTGGCCCCAGGCAGGCCCAGTTTCTGTGGAAGGACATTGGGTGGGGCAGGCATCCCCTGAGGCTGCTCTTCTCTGGGCCTCCAGGTGAGATCCTGCTGCAGATGTCGGACACCCAGAGGCACTTGAACTCTGACCTGGAGTTGGTGGTGAGTGTCTGACCCCCTGGCCTGGTGGTGTCACTAGCGAGATCAGGTGTCACTGCATTCCAGGGATAAGGGCCCAAACCTTCCCAGGGTAGATTCCAGGCCCTCAGGGCGACAGCCACGGGTGCTCATTTAACTGCTGCTTCTGTCCAGGCCCCTACCCTGGGGTTTCTGTCTCCATTCACAGAGGAGGAAACTGAGTCTCAGCAGCCAGTCACTAGCCTGACAGCAGAGTGAGTGGAGGATATAGGAAGGAGGACCCCTCCTCTGCTGCCTCCCCAAACTCACTGTCTGCTCTCTGAGGAGCAGCCACTGGTGCTCACGAGTGAACCCCTCCACGCCCCAGCTCCATCGTAGACAAGTTACTTCACCTCTCTGGGCCTCAGTTTACCTGTCTGTCAAATGGAGACAATCCCAAGGAGAGCTTTGTAGGATTCTTGTGAGAATTAAGGTACTGGATAAGTATAAGCCGTTTTCCTGGGTTCCCTCAGCACCCCCATGCAGCTTGACTGAGCACCCACCCACGCCAAGACTATGGTCTCTGCACTCCGCACCTCCCCTGCTGAGATCACACGCGCCACAAGGGCCGGCCGGGCCTTCTCTCTGTAGCTCCAGGGCCTAAAATGGGGCCTGGCACTGAGCAGGGCTTCCCTGATTGTGGCCAGAAAGAAAGAGCTTGAAAAAGATGGGGGCTTGCCCCAGGAAGGAGAGGAGAAGAGAGGGGCTCCAGGGGCGCCATGGTTGTTCTCGTGCCTGAGTACGCACGGAAGTGTCTGGAGAAGGGAGCCCAGCAGAGCGGGGAGTGATGGGTGCTGATGCTGAGGGCCTGGGGAGCTTTAGGAGGAAATTTCAACTCCCTGAGATAGTTGGTGGCTCTCAAGCGTGGTGGGGGGAGCCCCAAGCAGTCAGGAAAACTTTCCGCTTTGGCTTCCATGTTGAACTGGGGAACAGTTTTACCAACAACCAAAGTGCCTTCAACTCCCTGTGGTAAAATGCTCGTCCCGACCCACTCCCAGTGTGTGTGTGTGTGTGTGTGTGTGTGTGTTGGGGGGGCTCCTAATTGTGGGTCATAAAACGCTGCCAGTCTGATGCTCTCACTTATCTGCTGGGATATTTCTATAAGGAAATGCTCCCGCATCCCCTTCTCCTGGGTCGTTGCCGGCCACAGCTGGGCCAAGGCTGCACACTTCCTTCACTTTGATAAGTCAAGTGCTTTGGTAAGATAAACACTTGTAAGATCCTGACTTTGCTCACTGTCATTCTCTGAAGGCAATCAATTAGCTTTCTTTTTTTTTTTTATTATCTCCATTTTGTAGTGCTTAGCATCATCATGTCATAGACAGAAACATAGTTGATGTGTCTCCATCCTTGGCAATTGTCCTTATTGAAGTTGAAAATGTCCCCTCTTGGCCAGTAGAAGCCTCTTCCACGCGCCTCTGCGCCCTTCCAGCTCCACTCTCACAGTGCTCCTCGGCTCTCTGACAAATGGCAAATGTCTGACAAATGTCTCAGCCTCATCTGCAATTTTGTTGCTCTCAACACAGAATCAAACATCTCTCCACCAAGCCCTGCTTTTCATTTTCCGTGGAAAGTGACATTTGAAGAGCATCCCCAGGCACTAGGAGTGTTCGTTGCCACTGGGTTGATCATTGTTTCCAGGTCTTTCTAGGGGCCAGAGCTGTAGATACATGTATACACATGAATACATAGATGCAAAACACACATGTGTACACTAAATATCATATGTGTACATGGCTATATTTGTATTTACTGATAAAATTCTTCACATGTTCACACTGATTCGTCCATCAAGTTTTTATAAACCTCTTTGATTCACTAAATCTCCTCTGTTCTACACCAGGAATCTTGTTTCTCAGGAATGAAAAGAATGAAAGAATGACAGAGAATGAAAGAATGACAACAGCCCGCGTGACCCATTGGCTTTATCTTGCAATTCGTCCCCAGCAGCCATTACCAGGCTGGTTCTTTAAGCATCGCTTGTATGAATTAGTTTTTATCAAGAGATTTACATAATAAAAACCCTGCTCTAAAGGGTTGCTTTTGATGAGTTTTGACAATTGTTCACACTCAACCCCATCCTAAATAGGATTTAGAAGATTTCCATCAGTCTAGAAAGTTCCTTTGTGTCCTTTTCACATCAATCCTGGCCCCAGAGACAACCACTTCTGGTTTCTATCTCTAGGGATTAATTTGGCCTGTCTTAGGAGCTCATGTGAACAGCGCCATGTAGTGTGTGCGCCTTGTGTCCCGCCTCCTCGCTCAGCATCTGCCTATAAGACTGGGCCATGTCGTCACATGTTGCTGCTCTGTCTGTCTGATGCTTAGAGCGCCACTGTGTGAACACACCACAGTGTGTTCCCCCGTTTTTCTATGGATGGTCATTTGGGTTGTTTCCAGTTTGGGCTTTATGAGCATGGACATTCTAACACAACAAATCTTTTGTGGCTGTGTTTTCATTTCTCTTGGGTAAAGACCTAGGAATAGAATTATGGGTCGTAGGGCTGACATATTCAGCTTTCTAAGAAACTGCCAAGAGCACTCCAAAGTTCTCATATTCTCCACTCCCACAGCCATGTATGAAAGCTGCTGTTTACACCCTTGCCAACATTCGACGCTATCAGTCTTGTTTATTTTAACCATTCTAGTGGAAACGGGATGGTACCTCATGGTGTTTTTATTTTGCACATTCTGATGACTAACGACTATAATGAGTTTATTGGATATGTTTATATCTTCTTTCGTGACATGATTATCTCTTGCCTATCTTTTATTGAGTTTTGCTTATCGTTGACCTATAGAAAATATTTATATAGTAAAGATAGGAATCCTTCATCATAAGTATGGATCATGAATGTTTTTACCAAGCTTTAACTTATCTGTTTTTTTTTATGAGTGTCTAAGATGAGCAGAAATTTTAGATTTTTTTATGAAAACCAATATGACAATGCTTTTGTGCTTGTATCTTATCCAAGAAATCTTTTTTTATCCCCATGACAAAGATGATGTCCTAAGTTTTCTTTTTTCTTTTTTTTTTTAAAAGATTTATTTATTTATTTATATAAGAACCAGGGTACAGGCCAGATGCACGGGAGGGTGAAAGGATTCACCAGAGACATAGCAGGGAACAGAACAGGCAGACTGACAAAGTATACTGCTGAGGGGAGCAGCGGGTACGACAGGAGAGATCTGCCTCGCTGGCCAGGCGGGATCGAACCAGCGCTGCAGAGGCTGCAGACAGCTTCACAGTGCGTCACTCAACCGCCTGTGCCACCAGGGGAGGCCCTGATGTCCTAAGTTTTCTTATAGAAATTCTATGTTCTAAACTTTACTTTTATTCTATGATCCTTCTCAAATTCATTTTGTATACGAGAGGTGCAAGTATTCAGTTGTTCAGCATAAAAAAGACTTTTCTTTACCCACTGAATTAACCTGGTGTCTTGGTCAAAAATTGAGTTGCCACATATGTGTGGGTCTGCTTCTAGATTCTCTGCTTAGTTCTGTTGATGATTTGTTCATCCTTATCCACATACCACGTTGTATTAAGTACTGTAGCTTCATAGTAAGTCTAAGAATTTTGTTCTTCTTTTTAAAAATGATTTTGCCCATATAAGATGCTTAGCAATTCAAAATAGATTACAGAATCAGCTTGTGCTTTTCTTCAAGGAAAAAACACTGGACTTTTGATAGGGATTGTACTAATCCCTAAATCAATGGTCATCTTTTTTTTTTTTTAAAGATTTATTTATTTATTTATTTATACAAGCACTGGGTACAGTCAGAAGCGCGGGAGGGTGAGAGAATTCACCAGAGCCAGACCGGGGAGCAGAGCAGGCAGAAGGACCGAAGTACACTGCTGAGGGGAGCAGCGGGCGGCAGGAGAGGTCTGCGCGCCATGTGGGACCCTCCTCCGGTGTCCGGGGAGCAGTCAGGGATCGAACCGGCGCTGCAGAGGCTGCGGGCAGCTTCGCAACCCAGCGCTCAACCGCTGCGCCACCGGGGAGGCCCTTAATAGTCATCTTAACAATGATGAATCTTCTGATCCATGAACATGGAATATTTTTCCATTATTTCACTAAGAAATGTTTTCACATTTTCAGTGTAAGTTTTATACATCTTTTCATAGAATTATTCCTGTGTTTGATGTTTTTTGAAGCCCTTGTAGTTGGCATTTTTAATTTCATGTTCCAATTATTCATTGCTTGACTTATAGCCAAACAAGTAGGCGCACCCTGGCTACTGTACTAAGAATAAATGATAAAGAGTGGAGGGAAAAGCAGAAGTAGGAAGACCAGTCAGCAGGCTGTGGAGATAATCCAGGGAAGGGAGGATGTGGCTTGAGAAATGGTGGCAGCCGTAGTTGTGTTGAGGAGAGATCAGACTGAAGCGAAAGCCAACAGGATTGTCTGATGGATTGGATGTCAGTCGCTAGAAGGAAAAGCAAAGTCCAAATAATTCCAAGGTCCTATCCTGACAACTAGAAAAGTAGAGTTGCCATTAGCTGAGGTGGAAAAAATTAAGTGTGGTGCGGTTGGGTGGAAGGGAGGCATCAGGGGCTCAATTTTAGACATGGCCAGCTTGAGACCTTGTTAGAAAACCAGCCAGAGAGCCAGTGTGGCCTGGTCAGTTGTATGTGTGAGACTGGAGCTTGGGGGAGAAGGCTGCACTAGGGCCTAGATCCGGGGACCACCAGCACGTGGACTGGATAAGTTCACTAAGAGTGGATGCAAAGTGAGAAAGGGAGAGGTCTGGCGGGGACGCTGGGAGCTGAGGGAAGGTGTTTCAGTAGGATGGGGTATAATCACCCTTGTCTAGAATGATGACAGGGGAGCCGGGTGAGACCTGAGAATTGGCCATGGGATTTGACCTTGGTGGTTTTAACAAAAACATGCTTGTTACTAGGGAGCAGCACTCACCCCACTGGAGAGGGCGCAAGGGCACATGGGAGGAAAGGCGCCGGGTGAGCCCACAGGGACAGTTTGCTCAAGGTGGTTTTTCCATACACATGGTAGAAGTTTCTTGGGAGTTACTGGAGTAACTGTACCCAGAGTTTACAGGCATGTTGTCAGCCGTGGGGGGGGGGGCTGCTCTCAGCCTCCAGGAGGAGCCTGTAGGACCCGCTAATGAGGTGTGTGCCCAGGGGAGGCGAGTGGGAGAGGTGGTCTCCCTTCTGGCCTTCTGGGACTCCCTCTGACTGCCTTGGGGTTGGCAACTTCCTGGTTTCGGAAACCACCTGCTGAGCACAGACAGTGCTCCAGTTCCCAGCTGTAAGAGCTCAAAGTTCGCGGCAAGGATCAGCCTCTTCCTCGATCTACTTCTCAGAAGCTTGTCAAAGGCGTTCCATTAGCCCAGTCAGGGCGCTGAGGCTCTAGCTGATGGGGCGCCCGGGGTATGTGTCCTTACCTCGTCGGGGATCTCAGCCAACCGAGCATGGCAGTGAGAGGAGTGACAGTCCAGCTTTCCTGCTCCCACATGTTTCTACCGCGTGTCCCAGTTCATGCACCTCAGGAAGCCGGCGCGATGACGAATGACGTGGAGGGTGGCTTGTTCCGACTCCGGGTTTCCTCGGCAAGGGAGTGGGCCAGGGTCAACAGATTAGGGGGATAGCAGAGTCCTCCACTTGTCTGCTGCCAAAGAGCCCTTGGGGCTGCATTTCCCGAACATGTCAATAGAGCTCTGGCCCCCAGAACGCCCTGAGGAGGGCCTCCCAGACTCCCGCGGTTCTCAGCTGGCAGGTGGTGGCGGCAGGTGTCCCCTCCGCCCATCCACCTTGGCGACAGCCCACTCCGTCCCGCGGGCCTCGCCTGCCTGCTCTGCGGTGATTACGGCAGCGCCGCGCGCCCGTGCCACGTGTGGCTTTAATATTTTCAGCGGCCCTGGGTGTAGCTCACGTGTGTCTCTCCAGGTTCAATTCACCATCTCTGTTAGTGCCGTGGTTACAAAGTTGCCTGAGTTTTGAGGGTTCCCCCAACCCCGATCTCCCATGATCCCTGGTGTTTATATTGGGCAATTTTGCAGGATGTGAGGATGTTCAGGGACACACTTTATGTCTGAGCAGAAGTCCTGGCCCACCTCTTCAGGGGGACGCAGGCAAGGGCGAGGCGAGGGAGGCGCCGGGGGCCCTTGCTGTGGGGTCTCCCCGCTGCAGGTGGGAAGGCTCGCTGCCTTACTTCCAGGGTCCAGCAGGAAGGGGCCCCCCATCAGGCAAAAATGAGGACTCAGGGCTCACATCATCGTCGTCTCCCCGCGCACACATGCCCACTGGCAGCCGCAGCTTGGGGGGAGGCCATAGCCAGTCCCGAGAGACCACACTTAGCAGTTACTAAGGTTTCAAAAACAAATGTAGGGGGTAAAGTTAAAACTCAGAGTGTTTATAATTTGCTGGGTTTCCCCTGCATACCTGGAGGAGATGAGCAGCGCTCCTTTCCCAGGCATTGCCCTACCCCAGACCTAGCGCACCCCAGGCACAGTGTGAGGCATGCGGGGGGCTGTGCCAGTGGCCACCAAGGGCTGTGGAATCAAACTTATTAGATTTATAGATCTGGATGCCAGAGACCATCTGGCCAAGCCCTTCCCGTTGCAGATGGGGACACGGGAGCCAGAGAGGGCAGCAAGTTGTCAAAAGTCACAGAGTAAACCAAGGGCAGGACATACCTCTTCTGAGTCTGAGCTCTACCCCTGCCCCCAACTTCACCCCCAACTAAAGTCTCAACAGTTCTGAACACTTACCCTGTGCCAGGCCCAGCCCACAGAGCCAGGAGATGGGTTATAACCAGAGGCCTGGTAGGAAATTCTGTCCTATGGCTAGAGGAACCAATTAATGTATTGGACTGGGCATTGCAGGGGATGCCAGGGCCTGGGAATAATGAGGCCACCCTGATCAGCCCTGCCCTGCACTCCACCAGGTGCAGACATTCCATGAAGACCTGCTGCAGCACTTGGAGAAGAACACCAAGCTGGACATGCAGTTCATCAAAGTGAGTCAGGCTGCCCCACCTCGGCCCCAGCCCATCACAGGCAGCACTGCTTCTCCCCACCTGCCCCACAGGCACACTGAGGCCACTGGGCATTGGCTGGCCCTAGGGGATGCACATCCCCATTGAGCCTCTCCGGCCCCATCCAGCACTCTGCCCCACGATCTCGGTGTTTGAGCTTTGTTGGCAACGTTTTTTCCTCCTCTCCCTGCCCCACCCAAGGACAGCCGCCAGCACTACGAGATTGAGTACCGCCAGCGAGCCGCCAACCTGGACAAGTGCATGTCGGAGCTGTGGCACATGGAGCGCAAGAGGGACAAGAATGCATGGGAGATGAAGGTGCAAGGGCTAGTGGGATGCAGCCTGGGGGGTGGTGCCCTCTGAGCTCCCCCACCCAGCACCGGCCAACTCTGGAGTATGGCTCACCCCATCCTTTGTGGTGAGCATAGCTGGAAGGGTCAGGCGGCTCCCCGTGGGGCAGGAGTCACTGGCTCATAAGGACCCCCACAGCACTGCTACTAGCCCTGCCGCTTCCTGACCCTCCCCAGGTTCCCCAGGCCTCCCTCTCTCCTCCTCCATGAGAAAACCCAAGGCCATCCTTAGCAAAGAGAAAATCCATCAGCAGCCCCGACATCCTCTATCTCCCTCCTGCCCCTGGCTAAGGTCATTTCTTCCTCCCAGGCTCAGCGCCCCATCCCTGGCTTCTACATCCAAGACCCAATCCCACAGAAGAACTGTCTTTTCTGATTCATCTTCTGGCTCCCTTGATAAGCTCTTATCTCTCCTCTGCAGAATGTGCTCTCCTGAGTGGGAAATTATTAACCAACTCATTCACATTTTCATTAAGCCAACCTCCCTAGGCCCCACATCTGTGCAAAGTGCTGGGGAAAAAGGGATGGCTCAGCACCAGCCTGCCTGGGAGAAATTGCCCAGGCCAGGGGGATGCAGAGGCCAGGCTCACGAGAGGGCAGACTCAGGAACCAGGATGGGCTGAGTGCTCAAGGGAGGCTTCCAGGAGGAGGCACCTGAGTCAGAAGGGACAGGGACACTTGGGACAGCTGGCATTCATGGGGGCTGTGATGAAGCACCTACCTACTGCCTCCAGCCAGAACCCCCTGTCCCCACAGGAGAGCGTGAACCGGCTGCATGCCCAGATGCAGGCCTTCGTGTCGGAGAGTCAGCGCACAGCTGAACTGGAAGAGAAGCGGCGATATCGCTTCTTGGCTGAGAAGCACCTAGTGCTGTCCAACGCCTTCTTGCAGTTTTTTGGCCGGGTGAGCTGGGGCTGCAGGACTGTGAATGGGCACTTCCAGGGGTGAACTGGGAGCTGGGAGTGTGCAAGAATTTCCTGCCCATCTTCCCTTTCCCTTCTTTCCTCCCTTTCCATAGATGTCTGTCTATTTGCTCTCTCCATCTGTTTCTCTGTTGACTCATTTCTGTGTTCATTTATATCACTGGATAGTCATTCATTTATTCGTTTATGATTTTGTTTATTCTCATATTCATTCATTAGCTCATGCATTTGTTTACATATGAGCCGTTTATTTTTTCATTCCTTCAGGCATACATTCACCATTCACAAATTCATCAATTTGTAGGTTTATTCAATTATTTTCTATTAATTTATCTTTTTTTTGTTAAAGATTTATTTATTTATTTATACAAGCACTGGGTACAGTCAGAAGCATGAGCGGGTGAGAGAATTCACCAGAGCTAGAGCAGGGAGCAGAGCAGGCAGAAGGACCGAAGTACACTGCTGAGGGGAGCAGCGGGCGGCAGGAGAGGTCTGTGCCCCATGTGGGACCCTTGCCCGGTGGCCAGGGAACGAACCGGAGCTGCAGAGGCTGTGGGCAGCTTTGCAACCCAGCACTCAACCACTGCGCCACCTGGGAGGCCCTATTAATTTATCTTATTTAAATCTTCTATGCTTTCATTATATCTGGTATACTAGTCAGATTCTTTCATTTCTCATTTGGATTCCTAATGGATTTTGCTTTCTGTATTTAGCTGCCATGTTGTTTAGTGCTTTGGAGTTTGTGACAATGACATCTTCTTTATAAATATTTCTATGTATCTACTAAATGTTCCTCATAATTTAGTCTGAAACTTTCAAAATCAATTTTGCTGGAGATTAATATTGCTCATCCTAACTTCTCCTCCCTTATTTCTTGGTTTTAACTGTGTTTTCTGTTATTAGCGTCAGCTCAATTGGTTTTGACCAATCAGACAATGTATGTCTTCTAACAGAAGAATTTATCTTATTTCTATTTCCCCCATTTAACACAGTAACTGATATGCCTATTTTATTCCTTCTAGAAAACATGGGTTCACTGTATTTCCTTTGTCATTTCTTCTTTTCCCCCCATTCTTATTCTAGTCAGTTTCCACCTCTGTAGTTTGGAAAGTTCTACCGTTCTTTTCCTCCTTACTAATGGTTTCCTCACATTGTGACCCTTAAAATCACATCTCTTGTTTATATCTTTAAAAATATATATTGACACCCCACACACTACTTAGTCTATTGATCCCACCACCGCCACCCTATAAAATGAGATCTTGAGAAGGATTTCCTGCCCTTCCAAATACTTTATGATGAGTACTTTAGAAAATGTTTACTGCTCCCCTCAGCCGCTCCAAGCCCCACTTCTTGGTTTTGCCGAGATAACTTCAGGACTTAGTTCCAGATTCTCACTGGTCATTTCTTTGCAGCCTGGCCCTTCTATTTCAAGAGACTTTGCTTGGATTACATATGTTACCTTGCTCGGTGCACTAACAGCATCCACTAGCATTTCACCACATGCGTGATCAGATACACTGCTCACCACTGTCCTCACTCTCCTCCACCTCCTACTGGCCTGAGGTCTCTCCTTTGATTAAATTGTGGTGGTTAGAGAACACTCCTGAGTATTTTCTGCAGACACACTGAGTGCTTGTACATCATAGAAGTCTTCTTTTATCCTGACTATTGAGTGCCAGGTTGACTGGTTGCAGAACTCCATACATACGGGTATCTTCTCCCCACCTCTGAGATGACATACCTTCTCCCAGTGCCCTGTGTTGTAGATGCTGAGCCTGATGCTGGTCTGTCTTCTCCCTTTCAGTATCTGGATCTTGGACGCTTGAGGCTTTTGTGTCCTTAGGGCTCAAAACTTGCCCAGACACTACTGAGATGAGTGCCTGTTGGTGCTCCTTCATTCTGTAGGCTCAAATCAGTCTCAGCCCGAGCAGCTATTACCTCCTCCATTTCTTTAATTATTACCTCTTTGCCATCTTTCTTTTTCTCTTCTTTAAAATGTTTTCTCCTTGTGAATATTCTTGTTTTTCTTTTCTTTTTTTTAATTGAGGTAACATTGATTTATGACACCGCCTCTGATTCAGAGGCCGAGGGCCCACTCCCCAGACGGATGTCCCTCTGCCACACCACCGCCATGAGCCCCACGCTTCTCCCCCAGGCTCGGAGTTGGTTCCTCCTCACACCCTCCTCTCCCAGTGACCCTCCCGAGGAATTTTTTTTCAGCAGTTTTACTGAGATATAGTGAGCGTAGCATGCACTTTGCATGTTACAGAAATTAGCTCTTTCTTAGGGGTGAATTGCAAATATTTTCCTTAGTTCCTCACTTATCTTTGAAGTTGCTTTTAGTAGGTTTTGCCATGTTAAGAAAATGTATCCTTATTTCATCAAATTTATTGGTCTTGTTATAGGACAGGGAGAGGGTCAGCCCAAACCCCGCAAACCTGCCTATTCTAAATGGGTTCTGCCATCCGCTGCATCAACACAAAAACATATAAGACTTTAATGGGAAGGAACTTTAATAAAAGTAGGAAACAATACAGGAAAGGCAAAGAGTCTAGTTTCTAAATGAAGCACCCAAAGTTACCCGTCCCCTCATGGGTAAAAGTCCATCCAAATGGGATTGGCCCAGAACAAGGCCCCAAAGCCTGCCACAAGTCTAAAGCATCTTCCAGTGGGGACCCACAGAAAAGGGTCAGAAATAACCAGACAAGCCCGGAAGGAAAAGAGCAAAATCAACATCAAGATAAAAACTGCCATTGTCACCTCCCCATGGGTCTCACCCACATCTGTGTCACTCAGCCTACGACCAAAAGACAAGCGCAGTTTCTTCACGTGTCTCTAGGCTCCATGCACCTCCTCCAGGTCTCCTGGCTCCATCCTGCTTCCTTCCTCAGTCTCTTCTGCAGCTTCTCCTCTTCCTGCTCAGCTCCACCCTCCCTTGGGTGGGGCAGGGAACCTCCCCCTTTCCTGGGGACCACCCTGTTACAGTCTTTTATAGTTTTTTTAAAAATCATATTTGGAAGGGCCTGTCAGCTACACAAATACTTTTAAAATTCTCCCATGGTCTCCTCTGTGTTTTTCAAACTCTGCAGTGTTTTTCCCCAAACACTAACTGAACTACCTGGGGGCAGGGCTGAGGGCAGACAGTTAACTTAAGTTCTGTCCAGGCCTGGACTCCCTGTATCCCGAGCATCCTGGTAGGTGCTCCCTGTTAAATGTTCTCAAATTGGACAAATCCCCCTCTTAATTATGGCATGTAGACTGTAATGGACTCGCTTTGCTTACTGTCACTGAAAAAAAGTGCACAGGCTTTTAAAATGTATCCTGTTTTGCTAGTTAATTTTGCAAGGAAATAGAGCATGTGTCCAGCTAGGGACCAGCTGGCCTAGTTGCTACTGTGACATGGGACCCTGAGTCTTTCTATCTTGCTGCCTGAGAGCACTCTGAGTTTGTAGCAGGGAGAAATCATGAAAAGGCCCAGGAAGCTTCCTCACACCGCGTCAGCACAGACCATCCCCTCATTACTGGGTGTGAGGCCTTGAGTTAGTCACTAACTGCTCTGACCCTCAGCTAATATATGGCACTTACCTCCCAGGGCTAATGCACTTGTCCATAAAGGTATCGATTACGGTATCATTATCTTAACATAGAGCCTGGCACAGAATAAATGTTTTTCCTAAGGGGACAGTCTTGAGCTAGACCTTGGAGGAGGGGATGTTTGAAAAGAAAGTGGAGAGAACTTTATAACTGGAGAGCACAGTATTTTGATTATACCTGGGAAATCATTTATAGAGTTGTGATAACAGACAGGTCGATGCCATGAGATAGAGTTCCCAAGTAAAGGGAGAAACTAGAGTTCCCAAGTAAAGGGAGCATGCTGTGCGAGCAGTGTCATGCCACTTGGGAAGTAGCTGGGGGTGGGCAAGAGGCAGAGAGCAAAGGGAAAGTGACCCAGAGCCTTTATTATGTTTTTCACGAGGTCAAAGCCTGATAAGCAAGTTTAGAGTCTAGGGTTGGAGAGTTTGAGTAGTTTCAGTGGACTCTAGGCTGTAGACTACTAGCCTCTAGTTGTCTGAGAGCTGGCCCTGGGGCGACTTAGGGCAGAATTACTGTGTAAGTTAAATAAAGGAAGTGGCGAGGGATATGAGTTTTGAGTTAGTTGGTATGCATGCAGAAGGAATACTCACAGGCAAGTTGTTTATTACCCCTGGGATAGTCAGCCCTGGGAGGCGCAGTCTCTCCAGGATTAGTAAAGTCCCAGAATTAAAAAAAAAAAAGGAATTAATCCACACAGCCAGTCTAACATCTAAAGTTTCTCCCATCACAAAATGATGTGGACTATATGATCAGGGCTGAGCTTCCTGTCCGTGACAGCATTCAAGTATGTTGGATGCCCATGTGTGGTGGCTACCGGAAATAGGATTCTATGTACATGACTGCGATCGACCAGAAAACTCTATTTGAAAGGCCCCTTTTAGAAAACTACTCAAACTGGCTTAAATGGAAAAAAGTATTTATTACTTTAGTTACTGGGAAGTGGGAAGGTTTCAGGTATAGCTGGATCCAGGAGCACACAAGATGTCTCCAGCGATTTGCCACACCCTGTTCATTAGTTTTAGCACCTTATGTTGGCTTTGCTCTACCTATTCTTTAGCAAATCACCTATTATTTAGCAAACCCCCTGAAGTGAAAGGACGTACTGGTTTACAGTTTAGTTCAGGGTAAGTACTGAGATTGGGTTCTTCAGTGAGTGCCATCCTGGAGCCCATCACTATAGCCAGGAGAATGGGCAACTTGAGTTTCCCCCTTCCTTTTATAGCCGGGCAGTGGGCAGCCCATCCAAAGCACATGGACTGAGAGAGAAGGCGGGGGAAGGTCCTCCAGGAAAACTGAGGTGCTTTTGAGCAAAGAGGAGGCGGGATGGACGACACAGTGACACCGCGGTGTCTTTTGGTTCCTTCTGGCTAGAAAAAAGGTCATTCCTCACCTTGCAGGGTCGTCGTCCCCAGGTCTAGGTGCCACCTGTGAGTTGGGGGCCACTCAGACCTGACGGCCGCCCGTGTCCCCGCCCAGGCCCGGGGGATGCTCCAGAACCGCGTGGTGCTGTGGAAGGAGCAGTCAGAGGCCAGCCGCGCGCCGTCCCGCGCCCACTCCCCGGGCCTGCTGGGGCCCGTGCTGGGGCCGCCCTACCCCTCGGGCCGCCTGACGCCCACCCGCCTGGACATGGTGAGGCCCTGGGCACTCCCACTGCCGCTCGTGCCCCCGCCGCCATTCGCGCCCCCGCCGCCCCCGGCGCTCTCCGCGGGGCCCTGGGGGCTGAGGCCCGCCGCCTGGAGCCTCCTCCCGCCCAGGGCGCCCCTCTACGTCGCGCCCCTCAGCCGGCCCTTCCGCCCCGGCGCGGCCTCCGCGCCCCCGTGGTGGCTCGGCCGGCGCCCCGTGAACCCCTACGCCGACGTCTGGGACTGGGGGTGGGGGCTGGACTAGGGCGCCGCGTCCCCGCCCCTCCCCGCCCCACCCGCCCCTGCCCGTCTCCCCTCGCAGCCCCAGCCTCTGGGAGACTTCGGCTCCCCCCGCAGCCGGCACGGCTCCGGCTCCTACGGCCCCCCGAGCCCCCCGAGGCGAGGTCCGCGCCCCAGCTGGAGCCCGAGCGCCGGCCCCTGCCCCGGACGCCGTCGACGTGTGAGTGCGCGCGCCCCGGGCCGCCCCGGGAGGACGGGGGTGCGGGCGGGGGCCCCAGCCGGGGAGAGGCCCTGGGGCGGCGGGCGGACGGGGGAGGGCCGGCGCCCCCGCCCACCCCGCCCCCGCCCACGCGCGCCCCCCGCCCACGCGCGCCCCCGCCCACGCGCGCCCCCGCCCACGCGCGCCCCCGCCCGCCCGCAGCCTCGCTCTACGCCGGCGGCGCGCCGCGCTCCCGCTCCAACTCCTTCGGCGAGCGCCCGGGCGGCGGCGGGGCGCCCCGGAGAGTCCGCGCCCTCGTCTCGCACTCGGAGGGCGCCAACCCCACGCTGCTGCGCTTCTCGGCCGGGGACGTGGTGGAGGTGCTGGTGCGCCAGGCGCAGAACGGCTGGCTCTACGGCAGGCTGCAGGGCTCGGCCACGTGAGTGCGCCGGGGCGCGGGGCGGGCGGCGCGAGGAGCCTGGGCCGGGCCAGCTCTGGCGCCGCAGCCGCAGGGGAGACGGGACGTGCCTGGGGTACTAAGCCTGGGGTGAGCCGGCGAAGAAAACCCCTGCTGAGGGGAGTGGGCGCCTGCGGGGGCCGGGCGGTGCCCCACAGGGCGTTTCGGGCAGGAGCTGGTCTGCGGGCCAGGCCGGGCCCCGGGGCGAAGGACGAGAGGACAGGCCCAGGGTGAGGGCGGAAGGCGTGGCCGGAGGCGGTGGGCTCGTGGAGAGGGCAGCCGGCTGAGTGGGCCCCGGGGGCCGAGAGAAGGGGCGCTGAAGGGCGTGGTCACAAGCAGGGGCGTGTGGCTAATGGGGGGCAGCTTTGGGCGCCCTGCAGCCTGCCCTGCAGAAGCCTGTCGGAGGGCAGCAGGGGCCACACCCCCGCCTGGTGTGTCGTGGACTTCGGGGACCTGATCATAAGCTGTCTTCGCTTACGTTCCCAATTTGTCCCCCTGGCCTTAGTTTGAAAACCCCTGCGTAGGGTCAAGGTCAAGCCCAGACCCTGCGGTGGGTGCCCTGGGCCTGGACCCTGGCGTCAGCCTCACCTGGGGCTTGTTGAGATCTTAAAGGTGTGGCGATCCTTCGCAGGTGTTCTGCCAGAATCAGGTGGATTCGTGGGGCCTGGGTGCCTCTCCCCACAACCGTGGCTGCTCGGAGGTGCAGTAGTGAATCTCCAGGCAGGCAGAGACGCCAAGAGAGGGGTGCAGGGGTCACCCAGACAGAGGCTGGGGAGGAGCAGCTGGGCTGAGGAGGCCAGAGCCCTGGATTGGAGTCAGGTCCCACAGCATGGTGCCTCTTCTTCTGGGCCCCGACGACTGGCCGCACCCCCTCCCCTGGCCCGCACGGTCACCGCGTCCCCGGGGCCATCATGGGGCTGCAGGGCTGTCTCCCTGCCAGGCTGGCAGCTCTGGGAAGGGATTGCACTGGTTTTGTGGCTCTCCTGTGTGGGTGCTCAGTGAGTCGGGAAAGGAGCCTCATCTTGTGTTTCTGGACACACTGCTTCCCTCCTCCCGGGGCGCCCCCAGGCCCTGCTGGACGTGAGGCGGGGCAGGTGGCCTTAAATGCCTCCTCCTTGAGTCCTCCACAAAGCCCTTCCAGCCCAGGCTGCCCGCACACAGGCGTCCCGGTAATTGCTTCTCTTAGAGGGATTTTTTAAAAAAAATTTATTTATTTAAGCATATAAGAGCTGGGGTACAGGCCAGAGGTGTGGGGGTGGGGTGAGAGGATTCACCAGAGACAGAGTGGGGAACAGAACAGGCAGACTGACGAAATACACTGCTGAGGGGAGCAGCGGGCGAGGCAGGAGAGGTCTGCTGCGCCGTGTGGGTTGCTCCCTGGCTGGGAATTGAACTCGTGCCGCAGTGGCTGCGGATACTTCATAGGCTGCTTCTCAACCCTTGTGCCACCAGGGGGGCCCAGAAGAGGGATTTTGAGCCCTGTCTTGGGGCCTTGTGCTTACGGGATCCCCTGCTTCTGTCCCACAGGAGCGGCTGGTTTCCTGAGGCCTATGTGAAGCCTTTGGAGGAGCTGCCCATGAGCCCCTTGAACCCTGTGGGCTCCGTGAACCCCATGAGCCCTATGAATGAGCTGCCTTCCAGGTACCTGGGCGGTGAGAGGTGGGTGGCGTGGGGACTCCGTGGGGGTGGCCCCACCCACCAGAGGTGGTGTCTGTGAGTTGCCACAGCCCCAGGAGAGAGGGCACCCCTCTCTCTGCATTCAGGGCCATTGTGTCCATCCTCTGCCTCCTGTCAGTTCTGCCTCAGGCCAATAACATCCTGCCCCAGCTGTGGGCCGTCAGATGCTGGGGGGGAGAGGGGCCCAGCAGGTGGCGTCGGGGCCACAGGGCCCGGCCCCTGAGCCAGTCCCTTTCTCTGATTCAGGTCCTACCCACTGCGGGGCAGCCACAGCCTCAATGACCTCCTGGACCAGCCGGGCAACTCCACGGTGCCCCCGCCCCCAGACCTCTGGGACGGCCAGCCCCGCTCCCGGACCCCGAGCCGGGTCCCGAGCCGCACCCCCAGCCCCGCACCCCCAGCCTTGCCTAGCAGCCGCAGAGGCAGCTTGGGCAGCGTGGGGGTGGCCAGTGACGCCAAGGTGGGCCTCCCTAGCCTGTTCCTCACCTGGGGACCCCCCGTGGGTAGGGAGCTCTAGCAGGCAAGGCCCTGCTGTGTGCCGGCGTCCGGCAGGGGCCCTCGCCCCGGGCTCCTGTGTCGTGGGTGGAGGGCGGAGGGTGGAGGGCAGCTCCGCTGAGGATGGGAGCCCCGTGTCCTGCTGGAAGCGCGATGGGTGTTCCCCCTGCTCTTCCGGGGCGCTAGATTAAGAGCCTGGCCCAGAGCCTGGGTGGGGCTGACCAGGGCAGGACGAGGCGGGTGCGGGGAGGGCACCTGCCCAGGGGTCGCCCTGGTCTGGTCCAGGGGGTGGTGGCCAGCCCGAGCGCCCTGGCCCAGAGGCCCCTCAAGTCTGAAAGGCACAGGACCGTGGGCTCCGGACGCCGGGCCTCATTTCCCAGAAGCTGCTCTGCGGGGGCCTCTGCTGAGATCCTGCCGTCCAGAGCGGGGCGAGCAGGGGAGGGGGGCGGGGCTGGCTCGCCCCTTCCCCACCAAAACCAGCCTCTCCCCCCACTGCAGAAACTTACGTCCTGGGAGCAGCAGCCCCCAGAGCTCTTCCCGCGGTGAGTGCCCGGGCACCAGGCTCAGTGGGGGGCTGGGGGGCGGGGAGGGTGTGGCCCAGGGCCCTGCCCTGCTGGCCCTCAGGGCCCCTCACCCAGCCCTCCCTCCACAGGGGCACGAATCCCTTTGCCACCGTGAAGCTGCGTCCCACCGTCACCAACGACCGCTCTGCGCCCCTCATCCGCTGAGGGGCCTCCATCCGGCCCTGAGGCCCCCCCCACACCGCCTGGGGTGCCCAGAGCTGGCCTGGCGGTGGCGGCAGCACCAGTAGCAGCAGCAGATCCACGAAGCCAAAGCTGGGGCTCTGAGACCGGGGGGGGGGGGGGGGGGGGGGGGGGGGGCCGCCCTTCCACAGCACAGCCCCCCTCCCCTCCCCTGCCTGAGCAGCACCCTGGACACCCTCCTGGGGTCTGGGACCTTCCAAATAAAGGCAGGACTGGGGGAAGAGCCGTTCTTCCCTCCAGGAGCCCCAGGACTCTCCCTGGGGGGGCCTGTCTCTGTTCCCCCCAACCACTTTCCTCCTCTGCCCCAGTAGGAAGGAGCCCCCACCCCACCTCCCCCACCCTCCAGTCTCCGTGTAACTTTTGTAAACAGAAATAAAGCCAGCAGCCGACAGCGGGGCGAGTGGGGTGTGATTTGGGGGATGGCGGGCGGGGGTGGGTCACAATCCAGGAGGTCCTGAATGTCACTGGCAGTTTTGGGGGGCGGAGGGGCTCTGGCTCCCAGTCCCTCAAGTCCCTCCTCGGAAGCCAGTCCTAGGTCTGCCCAAGGCCGCATCACCCATCCCCAGTCTTGTTTCTGCCCGTGGGTTCCCCAGAGGAGGGAGGGGTGACGGGGGCTCAGGTTGGGGGCCTCTGACTGGCCTGAACACAGCGCCCTTTGTTCAGACCCCGCCCCCCTCCTCCCAGCCCGCCGCGATGAGGCTTATCCAGGGAAAAGCCAAGAGGCCCCTCCTGGCATGTGGCCTGGTGGGGGGGGGGGGGAGGCGGGGCTGGCAAGGAGCTGAGCTAACTAGGACTCTCTCCAGGGCAGCCTAGCACCCCCAGGACAGGGCTGTGTCCTCCACCTGAGGCTCTCCAGTCTCCCCAGGTGGGCCTGGGACAGGGAACCCCACATTGGTCCCCAGCCTGGCCCTCCCCTCCCAAGCAAGAGCCTCTTAGAGGGGTTTTGGCGGGGAGACACTAAGTCCCAGGCCCGGGGAGTGCGCCGTGGCCCCTGCTGGGTCCGGAGGCCCCTGGAGCTGGGCTGAGTGGGCGTCCTGCTGCCTCAGAGATGCGAGGCTGCCCAGGTGCGAGTGAGGGACACGGGCAGAAGCCAGCACCTGGGGTGGGGGGAGTCCCAGAGACTTCAGGGCCCTTGGCATTGCCCAGTGGGCTTCGGGAGGGAGAGAGACTCCTGCCCCAGCCATGGGGGCTTCCTCTTGCCTCTGAGCCCCACTCCACGCCAGGTCTGGGGGGCACATGGGCTGAGCTCCAAGCATGCAGGGGGCCGCAGAGCGGTCTTCTGCTTGGGGAATGGGGGCGCTGCTAGGGGTGTGGAGGCAGAGGTCTCTCTCCCAGCACAACCCTCCCCCCACCCCAGAGTCCCCGCTGGCCCAGGGCAGCCAGGTGGGCCCCAGGCCGGCACCGCAGACCAGAGGCCCCTGCGGGCCTCGAGACCAGGCTACGGTGACGCCCCTGGCTTTTCCCCTAAAACCAGTGGTTACTCCCGACCCTGGGGAGTGCGGACGTGACCGCAGGCCAGGGAGGAAAGCAAGCCCCACCCCTGCGCAGCTGGGGCCCGTCCCCCTCTCCTACAGGCGGTGGTTCCCTGCCTGGAGGCGCTCACTCTGCACAGTGGGGAAACTGACCCCCCACACAGCGGCTGCCCAGCTCTCTCTCAGGGGCACCCCTATCTGCCACCTCTAGGTCCCCAGGGGGCGACGAGCACCCACCGGAGGGCACCCTCTGGCGTCAAGACTCAGGGGGGCAGGCCTGTGTCAGGCTCCCCGATCCTTCACGGCCCCGGAGGCGGCTGGGGGTGGGTTCCTACCTCCATTCTCCGGGCGGGGCTCAGGAGCTGCGCATCTGAGCGGACGGCGCCCCCGTTTCCCCGACGGGGTCTGCGTGGGCGGGCCCTCCTGGGGCCTCTTGCTCCCCCTCCTCCAGCACAGGCAGCGCGGAAGGTCGCTGGCGGCCCCACGGGGCGCAGGTCCCCGACGGTGGCTGGGCCCGCGCGGCTGGGCGCCCGCTTGGTGGCCACCGGCTCCCGACGGCTCCTCCTCGCGCGGCTTCTTGCGCGCACGGCACCGCGCGGGCCGGTCGGCCGCCTCCCTCGCCAGCCCGCGGCTGCGGCCCAGGCCACGCCGGACCGTCCCGGCGCCCCGGAGCGGGGGGCGCCCGTCCTCGCTCGCCGGGCACGGGGCGGGAGAGCGCGGGAAGCCGGCCAGCGCCAGCAGCAGCCCGGCCAGCGCGGCCGCTCCCTCCCCGCGCGCAGCCCCGCGCCGCCGTGCTGCAGGCGGCGGCCGCCCCCCGGGACTCCCCGGCCCGACCGCCGCGGCGGGCGACGCTCGGCGCCCCCGGCCCAGCGCGTCGGGAGCGGAGGCTGCGCCGGGCGGCGGCCCAGGGGCCCCGGGCGGCCACACCCCCGCGCCGCGGCGCGTTTTGAGTCCGTGTCCGCGGAGGGCGGGGCTGGGGCTTCCGGACCGGGCAGCCTGCGGCCCTGCCCCCTGCGGCCCTGCCCCCTGCGGCCCTGCGGCCCTGCCCCCTGCGGCCCTGCCCCCTGCGGCCCTGCCCCCTGCGGCCCTGCGCCCCTGCCCCCTGCGGCCCTGCCCCCTGCGGCCCTGCCCCTGCGCCCCTGCGGCCCTGCCCCCTGCGCCCCTGCGGCCCTGCGGCCCTGCCCCCTGCGGCCCTGCCCCCTGCGGCCCTGCCCCCTGCGGCCCTGCCCCTGCCCCTGCGGCCCTGCCCCTGCCCCCTGCGGCCCTGCCCCCTGCGGCCCTGCCCCCTGCGCCCTGCCCTGCGCCCCTGCGGCCCTGCCCCCTGCGGCCCTGCCCCTGCGCCCCTGCGGCCCTGCCCCTGCGGCCCTGCCCCCTGCGGCCCTGCCCCCTGCGCCCCTGCGGCCCTGCCCCCTGCGGCCCTGCCCCCTGCGCCCCTGCGGCCCTGCCCCCGCGCCCCTGCGCCCCTGCGGCCCTGCCCCCTGCGCCCCGCGGCCCTGCGGCCCTGCGGCCCTGCGCCCTGCGCCCCCCGGCATCTGTTGGCGCGTCCCGCCGAGCCAGGTGTGGCCAGACCCCCGCCGTCTCCCGGCGCGGACGTGGGGCGCCTGGGATGTGCCCCGGGAGAGGCTGGCCGGGCGGGCATGGGCCCAGGTCCGCGGCCACCTGCCTCTTGGAGCTGCGCCCGAGGCTGGGGTGCTGGCCGTGAGGGCGCCTCTGCTGGCCCCCCCGCGGGGTCGCGGCCTGGTGCCGCTCCTCGGTTTCCGGAGAGGCACCGGGGTCCGCCCACGTCCCGGGCTGGCTGCTCCCCCCAGCTGGGGCGGGGTGGGCGCCCTCGGGCGTCCCGGGCGCAGCGCCGCCTCGCCCCGGCCTGGGCCCGGCCCCCACCCGGGGTCGCTCACCGCGCTGGGGCCGTGCTGCGGGCGGCGGCGCCTCTGGCCCACGGGTGGCGGCTGCTGGCGCCTCGGCCTCCTGCTGCTCGGCGCGCGCGGCGGGTCACGCGGCCGCCCCGGCCCGGCTGCGACGGCGCGGACAGCGCGGGCGCCGGGGCAGCGGCGGCGTCGGGGACCCGACCCGAGCGCGCGCCCCCTGGCGGCCGGGGCCTGGCGCCGCTGCCGCTGGCCGGGGCGCCCGAGCTCTTGGCGCCCGCCGGCCTGTTGGTGGACGGCGCCCAGGACGCCCTCCTGCTGTCCGTCGTGGGCGTCGTGGACGTCGCGGCGCGGCCGACTTGCGGCCCTGCCCCGCCTGCGCCGGCGCGCCGCCTGCCTCTTCAGCCTGGGCCCCTGGCCGCGGGCTCGCGGGCACGGGCAGCGCGCGCTCCGACGGCGCCCTGGCCGCGTTCGGCCTCTCCGACGGCGCGGTGGGCGCGCGGCAGTTCCAGGCGCTCACGGCCGCCGCGGGGGCGCCCCGCTTCCCCAGGGCGCTGGGCCTGGTGCTGCCGGGCGAGGCCGTGGCTGTGCGCATCGAACCGCCTTCTGCCCGTGCGCCCCGCAGGAGGGGGCGGCTCCGTCCGTTGCCCCCAGGTCGAGGGAAGGTCCTTCCTGCCCACATGGAATAACCAGGATTGAGGAGAAGCAACCCATGGGCGGGCATGGCTGGGTGGGGTGACGCCCCTTCCTCCAAGCCCTGCCCCTCCTCTGGGTGGGGAGGGAGGGGCAGCCAGGCACGCTGGGGCCGGAATCCAGCATGAACAGCTGCTGGCTGGCTGGGTGTTCAGCAGCTGGCACAGGCCTTGTGAAGTGCAAATGCTTCTTTTCCATGGGGAAACTGAGGCACAGAGGCCAGCTACAGGCGCTGTCCAGAATGAGCGCAGAGCTCTATGCGGCACCACACCGGTCCTTTTGGATGGCGGCCTCTGAGCACAACAGGCCGGGCTTTGGAGGATGCCTGGGGTGCGGCCCTGGGGACAGGAGCAGAGGGAGGGAGCTGAGGCTGCGTGCGGGAGCCGCGCTGGTGCTGGGGTCTCCACTGCGCGCACTGCCTGCTGGGTGCCCTCTGAGGGGGGCGGCGGCGAGGGGGGGCTTCCTGCAGGGGCAGGGCACCCGCAGGAGAAGGCGCGCGCATGCACAGGCGTGGGGTGGGAACACTGGCCTACACAGGTGAGGCAGGAACTAAGATCAAAGGGTGGGGGCGGGGACATTGGGGTCTTCCTGGCTGCAGGGTCACCTCAAGCAGCAGGTGGCCTGCCTGTGAGCAGGACCCCAAGATCAGGTGCGGGGGGAGCGATGGGGAAGTTTGCCTTTGTGGAGCCCAGGCTAATACCTGAGGTGGGCCCGGCCCAGTGGGAATGGCAAGGCCTCCAGCAGCATGTGGGCAACTCCCAAGTCCACCACCAAAGCCACAGACCAGACTCCCCAGAGGCTCACATGGCCCTGGGGTGGGTCTAACGGGCAGAGAAAGCTCATGGGGTTTGAAGGCCGGACAGGGACAGGGACCAGGAAGGCAAGCTTGGGGGAGGACAGCTCAGAGGGGCACAGAGGGGAGCAGCCGGCTCAGGCGGTACTCAGGAACCCCCGAGGCCACACAGATCACACAGATGCAGACCGAGGGGCCCAAGGCAATGTGAATGGCCACGGGACTGCCCCCCAGGGAGAGGGTGGGGTCCGCACCATTACACCAGGTCCACAGGGCTGGGCCCGGCTGACCGCTGAGGCCGGACACCAGCGCCCTGGCCCCACCTCCGCAGGCGCGAGGCCTCTCCCCAGCCCTGGCGTGGCGGGCACAGCACTCCCCTCTGTGGGACCTCGGGTCCTCCTGACCCAGCTCTGTCTTACCCTTTCCCAAATAAGTTTCTTTAATGGCCAGAAGCACCAAGCAGGGAAGATGAGGGAGGGGGAGGGCGAGGGAGGGGTGCAAGCTCTGGGAGGGGTGGACCAGGGAGCCCTCTGGACCCGAGCTCCTCCCTCGGCCCTGGACCCGGCGCGGCCCCCGGCAAGGCATGTCTGCTCTGCGCACCGCCCAGTCTGACCGCAGCCGCCCGGGCCCGACTCTGCCTGCGGCCCACCCTGCCCGAGATCGGGGAGGCAGCGAGCGGAGGGGTCGCCGAGGGGAGAGGAGGGTCTGAGGCCACTGCACCGAGCCCGCTTCGTCTGGTTTGTGTTTATTCAATACAGGCCCAGCGCCCAGCCCTCTCCAGGGCAGCGGCCGAGCCGGGGAACAAAATAAATAAAGGCCGCCGAGGTGTGAGTGTGGACGGGGTGGGGCCTGCCTGGGCTGAGGTCGGGGTGCACACGAGACACTGGTCCCGACCTCGGCTGCCCGCCCCGGCCCCCCACTCCCGGTAGGCTCCAGGGGGGCCAGCGGAGGGGCCGTGAGCAACAGGTCCTGGGCTTCCTGCCACCTCCAACCCTCGTCCTTTCTGCCCTCCGTCTCCTTCCTAAGGCAGGGCCAGAGACCAGCTCTCCCCCTGGCCGGGAGGTGGGCAGGGAGGTGCAGGGGCCAGTGTCCAGGTCCCAGGCCGCGGCCGGTGCCCTGCCCGGGCGGGGGCAGGTGCGCTGTCTAGGACAGAGGAGCAGGAGGCGGCGCCCCGAGCCAGCAGGCCTTTCTTTATGAGCCACCCTGATGTGCAGCGGCCCCGCCCCGCTCCCGCTGTCTTCGCCCACTCGCCCTACCCCCCAGATCTGCACCCCACTGGGCACTCAGGAGTCACACCAGCTCCCACCCTTGTCCAGGGGCCCGGCGGCCCCCTGCGCTTCTCTGCCCGGCTGCCCCGCGGCCGCCTCCTCATCCTCGTCCTCGTCCTCCTCCCCGTCGGTGAACTCCTCCTGGCCGAGGCCGTAGGCCAGCGTGGTGTGCGCCAGGTCCACCTCGATGGGGAAGACGTCGGCGTCCCGCAGCACCGCATAGCAGTCGTTGTAGTACTTGGACATGGTGGACACGAAGCGCTGCAGCTGGAACACGATGTCCTGCACTGGGGTGGGAGGCAGGGACCGGTGGGCCATGGAGAAGGGGCTCAAGCTGGCCCGGGCCCTGTCCTCCCCTGGGCTTCCCACGCCGGAGCCGCAGAGCCTCCTGCCCTGGGAGGGCACGGCCAGGGCTGCCGGGCCCTGCTCAGAGGGGCGAGCCAGGGGCCCCTGGCTCCCAGTTCAGGGACCAAGGGAATCCTGGCAGGAGGGTGGACCCTGAGTGGTCCCCCAGGTGTCCACCGGGCCTGGACCAGCACCATCTGGGCTTTCCATGTGGGGAAACCCAGTTCTGCCAGGGGGAGGAGGTGGCGCCTGCCTGCAGGCCGGGGCCACCGGCGGAGGCCAGCGCGCCCTCACCGTGCTTCTGGTCCAGCAGCTCCATCTTCTCGAGCACGTCCTTGCGCATCTGGGAGAAGCGGGTGCGGGCCTCCTGGCGGCAGCGCAGGATCAGGCGGTACTCGTAGTTGCCTGTGCTCACGCGGTACAGGGGCTCCCCGAGGGCCTGGGGGGCAAGTCAGGGACCCCGGGTTGGGGAGGGCACGGAGGGCTGCAGCGCCCACCTGCCAGCTCACAGCCCGGCACCACATGGTGCTTTCCAAAGCCGTCAGGCCCCTCGTTCCTGCTGGAAGCCACTCTGTTACCAGCCTTGTGCAAAAATAACAGAAAGACCCAAGCCCTTGCCATATTCATTTGTTCTAGATGAATCCTGATGTCAAAAAATTAAACCAATAAAAAGCACCTCACTCCCAGGAGTGAGGCGAGTTCCTTTGCCTCTAAGAGCCCCTGATGGGGGCAGCGGGTCCAGGGGCGGGCATGGGGGTGTCCTGCGGCAGCACTGGGGCCCAGGGGCGCTGCATGGCCCTGGATCTCTAGAACCCAAGCCCCCGCGCTTCTCCCAGGTTGGCCTGACCACCTGGCGCCCCGGCACATCCGGGGCATCCGGGGCGCTGAGAGGCAGTGTGCACACCCCGAGCCCGAGGCACCAGGGCCACGCCCGCGCGGCGACACTCACGATGCAGCTGTACTCCTCGTCGTCCATTTCCTTCACCTTCAGGCAGTAGGACTGTGGACAGGAGGCTGGGCTGTGGGGCGGCCGTGGGCTCCCAGTGCCCCCCGGCCCCCACACACAGGCCCCCACCTCCGAGAGGCCCCATCGAGTGTTGGGTGGGACCCAAGCCCAGCCCGACCTCGTCACATGCCGACACGTGACGGCCCCGCCTGCTCGCTGCACAGCTGGGGGCTCCCACCTCGGGGGACCCCACCCCAGAGGCCCAGACCACTCACCAAGTACTCAAACTTCACGTCCAGGTACTTCTTGATGGTGAGGCGGGTGTCCGGGATGGCTTTGTTGAGGTACGTGTTCAGGTCAGTCAGCATCTGGAGGGGGGGCGGTGGGTGACGCGGCTGCCCTGATGCTGGGCTCAGCGGCCAGGCCCAGAGCCCTCCTGGCCGCCCTTGCTCATTTCAAGGGCAAGACAGGTCAGGTTAAGACGGCTGAGACTCAGTGGGGAGCCAGGGCCGGAAGCCAGCCTAGAGTTCAAGGTCAGGGTGCGCTGGACAGGACAGCGCACCAGCCAGATCCGCGGCAGGTGCTCCGCCTCCAGGCAGGCCCCCTTGTGCGGCCACTGTCCCCTCCCGCCTGCGACACCGTGCCCCGTGCGACCTACCGGCGTGATGGTTTTCAACAGCCGGATGCCGAACTTCTCGATGCTGCGGTGGGCGTCGGCAAACTTCACAAAAGCTTCGCTCGCCGCTGGCTGGGGCTCCCGCACCCCAATCACGGAGAACACGTCCCCAAAGGCTGCAGGACAAGTCTGCCCTGAAGGCCGCCCCTACCTGACCCCTCAGGGAGATGCCAGGGATTTGCTGGGGAGAAGCAGGGCGTGGTGTGGCGGGGGGCCTCTTCCCCGGGAGGCGGGGCTCCACTGAAGGAAGGTGAGTGGACAGCTGAAGACGCTGGGTCTACTCCCCTGAGAAGGCTGCTCTATAACCCAAAGGAGCTGATCTGTGCCCAGGGCAGGCCTAGATCCCTGAAGGAGTTGGTCTATGCTCTCAAGGGCTCCGGGTCTCCGACCCCAAAGGAGCTGGCCCTCCACCCCCAGAGTGAGTGGCCCCAGGAGGCGGGGTCAAGGCTGGTGCTATCTGAGGGAGACGTCTCTGTGGGCCTGGACCCCTGGTCCTGAGCCGGCTCTACTGCTATGGCTGAGGCCTCAACCTTAGCACCCGCCCCACGCTAACAGGGCGAACCAGCTGCCGGCCCAGCTTGCAGAAAGGCGGCCACGCAGGGCAGGCTGCATGCATGTAAGTGGCAGGGCACACGGAGGGGCAGGTCTGGGGCAAGTGGCTGTGCCCCATGGAAGAGCAGATCTAGGTGGTCCCCACTAGCCCCATCTTCTCCACATCCCAGCAACTACACAGTGCCCAGGGCTGGCCTGAGGTCAAAGACTGTGTCCACCTGGGCATGAGCACGGCAGGGGCCCCAAGGAGGGCCTCGGTCACACCTTCGCAGGCGGGGTTGCTAAGTTTGGAGGGGGGCAGCTTTGGGGGCACCCTTACCCCGGTGTGTCTGCGACAGCTCATAAAAGGCCCGGAGGAGGTTCTTGGTGTGTTCCGTCATTCCTGCGGGAGAGACAGACCAGGGGAAGTGGGCACGTGGCAGAGACCACACTGACTCGGGACATGCCCCCCAGAATCCAGATGGGGTGAGGGCTCAGCCCAGCCCAGCATGAGGAGCCCCCTCAGACAGGGGAGCCAGGACTTCATGCGGGCAGAGGCCACGGGGTCCCTGTGGCTTTACCGCCGGGAGAGAAGGGGCCATGCTGTTGTGACACTCAGAAAACGTCTTCCAGCTTTTTCTCTGAAGATCTCTCAAGGGCCACGGTCCTGGACGGGGACACCCCCACCCGCCCGCCAGGGCCTGCCAGCCAGGGGCGCGCCTGCCCACCTTTATACAGCTCTGCGGTCCGCTCCAGCTCCTCCAGTCTCTTGACAAGCCCGTCTGCGGGGAGCAGGGAGAAGGCGAGGTGCGTCGGTCTCAGGGAGCCACAGGCGAGGCGTGCCAGGGCGGCCTGAGCCAGGTGCGGGACGGGGAGGTGGCCCCCGCACAGAACGGGGTCCCGGGTGGGGATTGAGCACCTCCAAGGCTAAGCCACCGCCCTGGCCGGCAGGGGCACACTGAAGGGCAGCTGGGTGATGGCGACAGAGTTTCCAAAAGTGCCCAGGCTGGACCTGTGGGGCCTCGTGCTGGCCAGTCCAGTGCCCGGGGCTCTGAGGCGGCGGCGTCAGGGAGGCAAAGCAGAACGCGGAGGGCTGCGGAGGGCAGGGCGCGTTTCGGGGGGGCTTCGAGGAGCAGCTCGCACAGGCCCAAGCCGCGGCGATGCTGTGCATTTGCTTCCAGGGCGTTTACTGAGCACGGCCTGTGCGCGACACCCGCCGCGTGCAGACACTGCCTCGGGCCCAGGGCACAGCCACGGTGAACGTGGTCCAAGCGTGCCCTCCGGGCTCATGGCTGGCCGAGGACCAGACGGTGGCCAGGCGGTGACGGGCCGGGTGACAGGACGGGCGGGAAGAGGCGGGTGGGCAGTCGCTCACCCAAGGGAGCAAAATGGACACAAGTGGAGTGCGGGCTGGGGCGGGGGCTCCGGGTGAGCACTCAGGAGGCCAGCTGAGGGCCGGGAGGGGGCGTCCTCTTCAGGGCTCCCTCCAGCAGTGAGCGCCACCCTCCTCCACCTCCGGGAGGAGATAAGCACCCTCCTCCCCACGGGAGCACCAGCAACACCCTCGGGGCAGGGGCCGGAGTCCATGCTGGCCTGGCCTCCCCTCCTGGCCTCCCCGAGCTACTGCCACAAGCTCGGCCCCCTCCACCGGCCCATCCTTCTTCCTTATGAGCCTCTGGGGCAAGGGCCGCGACTCAGAGTCACAGAGAGACCCGGGGACAGAGCGGGAAGCAGCCTGCCCCAGCCGCCCCCTGCAGGGAAGGCAGGGTGTGGGAGGCTGGCTCCAGCGCTGGTCTCCAGGAGGCTGGGCTACCTGGCGGGCCCAGGTTGGGCGGCCAGGCCTTGGCCCCAGGCGAGCCGGGCAGGGAGGAGCCACGTCAGCACTGCGCTGTTGTTTTTAGCTGGGTCATGGGACATCATGACAGCCTCAATTTTAGAAACCCTATTTAAGGCCAGGGAAATTGCAAGGTTTGGGGGGAAAAACACAACCACCAGTTCTAATTTCATCTCGACGCATGGTGACTACAGTACCAGGGATTTATAGACACCGAGTGGCCGGAAATAGCAGGCGCCACTTGTGCATGCCATTTGGAACCAGCTCAGACCCCACCCCCAGGGCGCAGCCAATTAAGCCGTGTGCCCAGCTGAGCCCACAAGCTATATGGGTATTTATATCCACCCCACACAGGCGCAGCGAGCGGCGGCTATTTATAAACACAGGCTGGTAGCGGCAGGAGCAGGACTGAGTGTTTTACTGCGCCCTGGGGAGGGAGCGTGTGCGCACACGCGTGTGTGGGTGTGCATGTGCATGTCGCGGCGCTCCTGGGGCAGGCGCGGCTGAGACCGGGCTGCGGCGCCCCCTCCTGGAGAAAGGCAGCAGGCGGCAGGGCGGGAGCAGGGAAGGGGTGTGTGCAGGGAGACGAGAGCACTGGGGAGCACTGCGGAAGAGGCCTGGAGGCGGGGGCAAAGGCATCTCCCACTGTGAGTGACGTGAGTGACGGGGCTGTGACCCCTGGCCTGGGGGTGAGGGCACACTGGCCAGCTGTAAAATGGCTCGGCTGTCTGCTGTGGGCGCTCTCAGGGCTGCCAAGAGATGGGAAAGACAGGCCCACAGAGGAGCCAGGGCCAGCCTAGAGGGACCCCCAGGGGTGGGATGCACAGCCGCAGCACCCCCCCACCCCCCACCCCCAGGCGCGGCTGCCGGGTCAGGGTGGAGGAGGGGACTCACCATTGCACAAGATGGCCCGGCTCAGGCCCAGGGCATCCGCGGTCCCCGAGCTCATGTTCTCCACCAGCCGATGCTTCACCTTCTTCAGCACTGGGGTCAGAGCAGAAGCGGCTCAGTGGGGACCTGGCAGCAGCCCAGCCACATGATTCACCGGGAGGGGCCCCCGGGGGCAGAAGGTTGAACTGGGGTGTCACACCATCAAGAGAGCCCCACCAAGGGCCGGTACTGGCCTGGGAGAGGCTGTCGCCGGAGCCCAGAGCAGCCCAGGGTCAACGCTGGCTGGGGGCAGCTCAAGAGGCTCTCCCCGTCCCACCTCCCACATGCAGATGGGGTGTCCCACACGGGGTGTCCCGCTGGGGACCATGGATGATAATTGACCTTGGGCCGTGGGCTCCACTGTTGATGTGAGGCGGCACCCTCAGTCCTTAGATGGGGCCGGAATGTTTTAGACTCGGCCTACCCAGGGTCTCTTTCCTTAAAGCCAGGGGGCCCCGGCCCTGGGGTGGGCAATGGCACTGGGCGCCACAGCGGAGAGGTGTGAGGGGGGCACAGGGCACAGAGCCCTCTCTGGTCTCAGGCCTGGAGCTGCAACAGGGGGCTGGCCCAGAGGACCTCGAAACCACTGGCCAGTTTTGAGTCTTGAAACTTCCACAGGCCCAGCAGGAGGCAGTGTGTGCCAGGTCTGCTGTGGGCAGGAGGGCTGGCCAGTGGCGCTCTGCCCAAGGCCTACAGGCCAGCTTAAATCTTGAGCCTTCCTGGGAGTAGGAGGGTGGCAGGCCAGGGCAGAGTTGGGGTGTATAGGTACCAAGAGGTACCAAGTCAGGGCTGCTGCCCCTTTCTCAGAAGAGTGAGGAGCTGGCCATGGTAAGCTGGGGTCAGCCCAGGGCAGCAGGGCTCCTGAAGAGGTGGCTGGAGTGTGGGTGGGGGTGAAACTCTGGGGAGAGAGAGGCCAGGATAAATTCCTGGCACCAGGGACAGGGAGTGCACCCCAAGTCCTCCTGCCCCCAAGGATCAGGCTTGGGCAGGAAAGGCAGAGTCCGCAGCCAGGCGGTTGTGCACCGCGTCATTCAGGGCAGAGTAGGCAGCGGCTGGCCCGGGACACTTACCAATGTCCAGGGACATGCCCTGCTTGGGGTCCGCCTGCAGCTTGTTGTAGTGAATCGTCACTTCCCCCTAAGAGAGCAGGGCAGGCTGAGCGGAGGAGGTGTGTCCTGGGCCCCAGCCCCTTCCCCAGCAAGGCCTACTTGCCCTGGAATCCGCGGTCACGAGGGAGCTGAGCCTGGAAAGCTCAGGACGGGGCGACTCGGAATTCAGTGTTCTGGGCTGAGGGCCATGCCAGGCTGCCCCGGCCCCTCTCCCCACGTGCCAGGCCCCGGGAGTCAGTGGGGACAAGGCCCCTGCTGCCACATGTCTCAAGGATGTCTGCTGATGTCCTGAGCCCCGGCCAGATGGGTGGGGCTGCTCCCCACAGCATGCCACCCCCTAAACCTGCACTAAGTCATTTTCCCCATGTAGAATATCTTCTCCTGTGCTCTAAGCTCCCCCACTTTCAGTCCCCTCTCCCACCCACGGACACAGCTAGGCACTGTCTCTGTGTCATGCAGGGAGGCCAAGCAGTAGGTGTAGGGGTGCCCAGTCCCCCAGGTCCCAGCTGACCAAGGAGGCCCATGCAGATCAGCTACACAAAGCACGTGGCGGAGAGGCGCCAGCGTCCCCTGGGCAGCCTGCCCTGCCCACGCCAGGCCCCACGGGCATTCTCACCCTCGCAATTCTAGACCCCGGACTTGGGACTGAACTCACTCAACTACACACCAGGCTCTCAAGACCGAGTTCTGAAGGGAACCCAAACGACTGGTGCAGTCAAGAGTCAGGGGTGTGAGGCTCCCCCAGATGCAGCACAGCGTGGGGCCACCACGGAGAGCAGTTGAAGGGCGGGGAAGGAGCACTGCGGGCCCAGGGGAGTCCGGCCCAGCTCCTGTCAGCTGTGAGGTCACAAGCAAATATCTTCCTCCCCCTGGCACAGTAAGATGGGGACAGTCACCCCTGCTGGCACCCAAACGCAGGCACTGAGGGGAGCCCCGTGTCAACATCCAGGCGGCACACTCGTGGACAGCACGGGGTCCGAGGGCGCGAGGGGGCTGGTGGCGCAAGAGGCTTCGGAGACCAGCAGGTTCCAATGCGCCAGGGAGGGGCTGACAAGGGGGTCCAGAAGGGGCACACACTCCAGCCGGTGTGGATCCACACCCCACCCACCTGCTTCCTGGCCGAGCTCCTCCGGCTCGCAGGGAAGGTATAGACAGTCCGCCCGGGCCCAGGGGAGAGGCGCCTGGCTCTGAGGGAGCCTGCCCCTCCCTTTGCCCCCAGGAGATCAGAGCGCCAGCCCTGGCCCTGCAGCTGACAGGGCCAGAGCAGAAGACACAGGACCGACCCCTCCTTCCCAAAGGCAGGAGGCAGGTGGGAATGACCAGGGGCAGAAGCGAGAATAGAGGGGAAGGCAGAGAAGCCGCTGCAAAGAGGACACAGGACCTGGGTCCTTAAAACATGAAGGGGGATGGCTGGGGGGGGGCTGAGGGGAGGGCCAGACAGATGAGCGGGGCAACTAAAGCGCCCCTCAAGCTCACTTGACAGTCGGCCTCGACTCTGAGACTTTTACATCATCCTGTGGCTTCACGCCTCCCACCCTAGACTAAGGTTCCCAAGGGTGCTGAGCAGCGAGGTCTCCAGGAAACAGCAAAGGCTGCCTGTGCGCTTCAGGTGGTGGGGATGCCACTGGTCACTCGGGGATAGGGGTCTTGGGGGTCGGGAGGGGACGTGGGAACAGACAGCCTCCCGGGGGTCTCCAGACCAGAACTGCAGCAGAGCTGGGAGCCTGGACGCCCCCTGGCCTGAAGCTCCCACAGGAACGGGGATGGGGGCTCCTCCTCTCTGACCCTGCCAAGGCCCCGCAGGGCCCAGCTGACGATACTGGATATCTCCCAGCCCAGGCAGGCCCGCCACGTGCTTCAGCTGCGGCCCAGCCTGATGGGGCTCACTGGCTGGCCCTGCGCTGTGACCACGGGGCAGCTCCACCAGGAGCTGGGGGACAGGGCCTCCGTGCTGTGGCTCTGAGGGAGCTGCCAAGTGAGCTTGAGGGGCGCTTCAGTTCCCCCAGCCAGGCCAGCACGGCGCCGGAGCACACTCAGTATCCAGTGGATGAAAGCAGGAGTCGAGGGAGCTGGACCGTGGGCAGGGGCTGGTGCGCCAGGGAGGGCAGCAGCGCGGCCGCCCCCTTCCAGGCTGGGCTGAAGGTCTCAGAGGGGCGTGGCTGCGTGTCCCCGCTCCCGCCTCAGCTCTTACCTTCACCTCCTGGATCATCTTGGCCACCTCCACCTTCGTTTTCCCTTTGATGGACCTGCCGTTGACACCAGTGATCTCATCGCCCGCCGCCACCGTGCCGTCCAGGGCCGCGGGGGTGTTGTCGAAGACCTGGGCAGCAGGGGAGCCAGAGGGACCACAGTCACTCCCTTCACCCCATCCGAACCCGCCCTCCAGCCTCTCAAGTGGCACCAGAGAAGGCAGGCGAGGGGAAAGTGCCCCCAGCACCTCTGAGCACCCGCTCTTCCAAGGCGTTTCCTAATGGACTTCCAGCAACGCAGCACAGAGCTGATGGGAGCCCGGAAGCGCCTCTGGTCACGCCCTGTATGGCGCCTGAGCCGCCAAAGAGCCGCACCTCACTCTACGTGGGTTCCCCTTTTTCCAAGGGGAGCCCCCAGCTGGGTCTGGGCTCCCTGGCTGTGAGGCTGGCCTGGCTGCCAGGGCTCCTGAGGTGAGGGCCAGCACCGCGTGCACAGATGGGCACAGGACACCGACGCTACACGGAAACAGCCCAAATGCCAGGCAGTGACCGTGTCTTCCCGCCACCTCGCCTTTAAATTCTGCTTTCTACAGAGTACGCAGAAAGAACACGATGTTTCATCTATGCAATACTGCAAGGAAGACAGGAAACAGATGCTTTCTTTGTGAGCTTCTGGAATCACACTAAAAATTCAGTCACTGTTTAAAGAAAGAAGAGGCTGGTGAGAGATGCCGAGGAGCGGGGCCTGGTCTGGGAAGATGGGGCAGCGGAGCTCCAAGGGCCTGCGGGGGCTGTAATAAGAGGTCGCTAATCTCTGCAGCAAAATGCCAGGTCAGGAGCTGGGCCTCTGGAAGCAGCCACAGGTGGGGGAGGCCAGGTGTGGAAGGCTGGGGGATGGGCTCGGCGGTGGCCCCGCCCACACGGCCCTGCCCCCCCTTCTCAGGAGGCCTCCCAACTTTGGGTCTGCTGGGCCAGGACTAGAGGGAGGTGGAAGGAGGCACCGGTCTCCAGCAGGGGGCTCAGTGTTGACACTGAAGGGTGAGTCCCAAAGCCCCCTTAACCCAGGGAGCCCCCAGAATGCTAGCAGCCAGCTGAGCGCCCTTCCCCTCCAAAAGAAAGGCCTCCGGCTTGTCAGGAAACTGCCCCGCAGGACCAGGCCGGGCCCGCCCGCAGAGCTCAGCACACACCCAGCGGCTGTGTCTCGCCCCTAACTTAGACGGGAGCCCGAGTGGAAACACTTCAATGAACAGAACAGGAAACACAGGAAACGGAAACAAAGCAGGGATGATCCAGACAGAGGAAAACCACAGTGAGCACCTTCGGCAACCAGAGAAACAGGACAGGACAGTGGGAAGAGCCAAGCAGGAGAGAGGGACGCTCTCTTAGAAACGCAAAATATGGCCGAAGTTAAATATGCCAAGGGCACCCAGCTGAGAAAAGTGAGCAGGAAGTGGACAGACACCAGAAGACCACTAGAGCCTCAAGTCGGGAAGGCCCGCGTTAAACCTCCAGGAGCCCACAGGGAAGGGAGAGAAGACCAGAGCAGGAGCACCTCCAGGAGAGGACAGGGGCTCCCCAGCAAAGCCTCTCTCTGGCACCCACACACAGATGGGCCCATGGGGAGGGAGGGTCACCAGCATGGCACTTCAGGATGTCAGGGGCAAAAATAAGCTCCTAAGGTCTTGACATCTTAAGAATAAAACACACTACAAAGAGGGCCTCCCTGGTGGCGCAAGGGGTTAAGCACCACACTATGAAGCTATCCGCAGCCTCTGCAGCACGAGCTCGCTCCCCGCAGCAGACCTCTCCTGACTTGCCCACTGCTCCCCTCAACAGTGTATGTCACTCAGTCTGCCTGTTCTGTTCCCCACTCTGTCTCTGGTGAGTCCTCTCACCCCCCGCCATCTCTGGCTTGTACCCCAGCTCTTGTATGCATAAATAAATCTTTAAAAAAAAACACACACACTACAAAGAGGGGTTCACTAATGAGAACAGCATCATCACGCCCCAACAGGCACGCTGACAGACCATGCAAGCACGCCATCGAACCCCAGGTGAAGATGCTCCTCACACCCAGAAATGCTCTTCACATCTTGCTTGTACCAGCAGCAAGAGGACATCAGAGTAACAATTTTAAAAGACAGAATAATGACATTTTCAGGGACATAAGCCCTCAAAAATATGACCTCCCTGTGGCCTTTCTCAGGAGGATGTGCTCCACTGACACGGGGAAGTAAACCAAGGGTGGGGGGGGTGACACAGGCAATAAGGCGATGGGAAATGTTTGAAGAAAATGCACTGAGAACACAAGGGGAATGCAGATTGGGAAAACAGAAAAACAAGAAGAGGAAGAGGTGGAATCACAAGAAAAGACTGAGTTAAAAAAGAAACAGGTTTCTCAAAAGGTTAAACACAGTTACCACATGACCCAGAAATTCCACTCTTAGGTAGAGTTCCCAGTTCCCAAAGGCGTGAACACCCATCTCCACACAGAAATGTGTGTGGGAACATTCACAGCAGTGTCCCTCACGATAGCACCACACGGAAGCAGCCCCATGTCCACCAACAAATGCATGAAACAGTGGAATATTATTCAGCCACGAAAAGGACAAAGTGCTTGAATGAACTTCAAAAATATTATGCTGAGTGAATGAGGCCAGACACAAAAGGTGACATGTAATGAGATTCCGTTTATATCCGCAGAAGACAGGTCCACAGAGCCAGAGGGCAGATTGGTGGAGGGCAGGGAGCTCGGAAGCAGGAAACAAGGACTGGCGACTTAAAAGGTGTAGGGTATTCTGGGTGATAAAAAGTTCTGAGACAAGAAAGAGGTAGGGGCTGCATCTAATGGTTGCACTAAATGCGACTGAATTGTGTGCTTTAAAAGTGTTAATTGGGGCCTCCCCAGTGGTACAGCGGTTGAGCGCTGGGTTGCGAAGCTGCCCACAGCCTCTGCGGCGCCGGTTCGATCCCCGGCTGCTCCCCGGCCACCAGAGGAGGGTCCCACATGGCCCGCAGACCTCTCCTGCCGCCCGCTGCTCCCCTCAGCAGTGTACTTCGGTCCTTCTGCCTGCTCTGCTCCCCACTCTGGTTCTGGTGAATTCTCTCACCCTCCCGCGCTTCTGACTGTACCCAGTGCTTGTATAAATAAATAAATAAATCTTTAAAAAATAAAGTGTTAATTGTACATTATGTGAATCCCATTAAAAAAATGTTAAAAAACAACCATAGAAGACTCCTAGGCTCAGTCTATAAAATGTCAGCGCACCTCAGAGAATCAGTCCCAGACACTGCAACAAAGTGACGCGGTGATAGAGCAAGTCACACGAATAGTTCAGGCTTCTAGTGCATATAAAAGTTATGTTTACACTACACTGCAGACGATTAAGTTTGCAACAGCCTTATGTCTCGGAAAAACAACGTACCACCTTCACTGATAAACGCTGAGGCTAACAAATACCAACCAGCACCTGAACTGTTGGCAAATGACACCAACAGAAGTGCCAGATGCAGGGTCACCCCAAAACTTCAATTTGTGGGAAAGTCTGCAAGGCACAATAATAAAATGAGTTGTGCGTGTCGTGTTAATAAGCACGGAAGTTTGCATTTGATTTCAAGTCACTACTCCATAGGTTTTTAGTCTCTCCACTACACTTGTGCTCATACCAGGGCTGACAGTTTTGTTGATTCATTAAAGACATTTTTCCTGAAGGTCTGCTACATGCAGGCGCTGTGAGAGGTGCTGGTGACTGCAGTGGAAAAGCCAACTGGCTTCTTGCCCTCAGAGTGCAAAGATCCTGCAAAAGCAGTTAAATAAGGAACAAGCAACCAGTAAACCCGTGACTGCAGATGGTGATGAGTGCTGCAAAGGAAAAGAGCGGACTGAAAGGGGAGAGAAAACCAAAGCAGACCCACAGAAAGGGGGTCTCTAAGGACATGAGACCTCGAGACTGAGAAGGAGCCAGTCCTACACAGGCAGAGATGAACCTGGCTGTGTCATGCCCAAGTTGGGAGGTGCTTATCCCTTCCAGGGCCTCACCCCACCTCCAAAGCACCCACTACCTGGACGATGTAGAGGCAGGGACAGTACTGGGCGCCTCCGCCAATGCTGATCCCAATCAGGTTCTGAGCATCCTTCTGCAGGGTCACCTTCCCGGGCACAGTAGGGATTCCGCTAGAAAGAGAAGCGCATGAGGCTGAGTCTCCTGGAGGATGATGGAGCGGAGGGGACAGGTCCTTCAAACCACCACCACCCCAGGCTCCACAGTCTTCTTTTTCTCACTTAGCCAAAAAGACAGCATTTTGGGCTGGCCCACACACGGCTCCTGGAATCATCCACATGTGAGGTCAAACCTGCCATTTATCTGCTGTGGGGCTTGGCTAAATCACCCTCTCTGCATCTGTCTCCTCATCCACGAAATAGCAGGGATAATGGTGCTTGTAAGATAGTGCATGGAAGGCACTTATCCCAGCCCACAGCAGGTGCTCCATAAAAACAGGCCCATTCATTCTACCTCTCAGGTTGGAGTGAGACTGCCCTTGTCACCCTGTCTGTCACATGTGGCCACCTCTTCTGGGAAGCTTTATGTTAAACTACCCATCACCCATCTCTCCACTGCTCTATTTGATTGCCTCTCAGTTTTCACTATAAATTAGCAATTATTTGTTTCACGGCAAGCATTCCCTGTTATTCATTTACTCATTCGAAAGCCATTTGTTAACAAACCATTGATGTCAAGCACCTCACTTGGTGCTGAGGACACAGAAAGGCACTGCACCCAGTCCGTGCTCTCAGGGAGGGTATCTTCCAATGGGCAGACAAAGTTAATTAAAAAAAAATCTGTCCCACTAATCATCTACACTGGCGAGGAAGCTATGTTTCCGATATTCCCATTTGTCTTCAAAATCCCAATTGCCACCTCCTCTGTGACACCTTCCCTGAATACCCCAGGAGAAGCACTACTCCATCTGCTCTGCTTTCCTTGCCGCTCTCCGTCGGGGGCCGGGTGGAACTGTATTATCTCTTAAAGCGTCCACAGCCCCCTGCGGATGGTGAGCTCCTGGAGGGGCAGGGTTCATTTCTGCAGCAGCACGAGACCTGTGGAACGGTCTGTGGAACTGGGAAGTCCTGGGATTTGAGGAACCTGCACTCCTAGGGTTTGGGGAAACCAAATACTCACAGTTTATCCTCCTCGATGTCATAATCCAAGTCTGCAAACATGGTTCCGAGAGTTGAGATGGGCTGGCTAACTGCCCAGCTCGGCAGGGGGATGGGAAGCTGGATCCAGGAGAGAAGGGTGCGTAGGGTTGAGGGAGGCGAAGTGCCTAGATGCCAGCCCGAACCTCGGCGATCCGGCAGCGCGGGCCCTCCGCCTTCCCAATGGACGGTGTTGGGGTGGGCAGGTGGTTCTTACTAGGTAAGGGGGGGCACTCCAGGCCAGGGCGGTGGGCTCAGATCCCAGAGCCCGCCCCACGGGTCTTAGGCCCTTGGGGGCTGTCTCCGCCGCTCACCGGAAACGTCGGTCCCGCAGCCGGGTCCGGGCCAGGCTGGCACCTGAACCCACCTGCCGTTCCACCTGTCGGCGGCCGCGACTGTCGCGTCACTTCCGGCAGTACGCGGAAGTCCCTCCTTCCGCCTCTGGGTCTTTGCCCCAATCCCTTATGGCCGCCCTGCTCTCCCTGCCTCCCGGGGCTCCCAGAACCAGGAAGGAGAATGGTGTTGACGGAAGCCCGCCGCGGGCGTGAAGAAGCGGAAACAGAGGGATGATCTGGACAAGCCGACGACGCGACCCCGCCCCTTGGCCTATGGCCGCCGCCATCTTGGGAAGGGCAGGCTCTTCCCAGCGTCCTCAGCGGGGCGCAGGGGATACGCCGGCGGGCCGGTTGCCGTGGCAACGGAACCCTCCCTGGGCGGGGAGATCTCCGGCCAGGTTCGGCGGACCGGTCCTGAGGCGCCGTGACCCCTCTGCTAGAACGGCAGTGTCAAACCTGGCAGTGTCAAGCCTTTCGCCCCTGTTTTGCAGAACAGAAACCGAAGGGCGGAGAGGGGAAAGGTTTTGCCAAGAGCCCGTCACAGATGTACTGTCTAGATCTTGACCCCGAGGCTGCTACCCCCGGTCCAGTCCCCTTTAACACCTGCCCACCTGTGCTGTGAACGCCAGACTGGACAGCTTCCCTTCCCTTCCCTTCCCTTCCCTTCCCTTCCCTTCCCTTCCCTTCCCTTCCCTTCCCTTCCCTGTCCTTCTGTGCCTCCTGCCCCCGCGGGCACCCTTAGGGCCTTGTGCATCCTGTGGTATCTGGTGAAGGACTCCTCACGCCCCATCTCCTTCCTGAGTCCTGAGGAGCAGCTCCTCTGGGGTCCCGCTGGGGGTCACAGCTCCCCTGTACCTGAGACCCAGCAAATGCCATCAGCGCTGCCGGGCAGAGGAGTCCAAATCTCGTCTCCTTGTCGACCTCTGCTGCCACTGCTGTTGTGCACAGTGGGGTCCCTGGAGGGTGCTGGTGCTCCCAGAGCCACAGCCCGGCAGCGGTTCATCCAGGCAGCATGGATCCAGGCCTTTCAGCCTCCTCCCGTCGCTGGCCATGGGCGGTGGAGAAAGGACAGAGGCAGAAAGATGACCATCCACGTATCCTGTGGCCCGATGGAACCCCACGCCACAACCCCTTAGGGAGCTAGTCTGCAGATGTGCAGGACGCCACCGCAGCGCCGGCCTTCCCAAGCACCCGCTGCTCTGCGTTCAGATCACCTTCCCAGGACTTGCGGCTCCCGGAGACCTGTGAGGGGAAGCCGGTGTGTGGCCACGCTCTCGGGTAAGGAAGGGGCGGCTCAGAGAGGCCGCTTCCCCTGTCTCACAGGTGGGCCGTGGCAGACCTAGGGCTGTTTTCATGCCAGAATTTGGGTTTTAAAAGCAGCAGCCTTCAGACCCGGACAGTCGAACGTGTGTGTGCAGCGTCTGTGCACACTGGGGCCTGTTCAGGTCCACCAGCAATCCCTGCCCAGGGGCCTCACCACCCAGGGGGATCCCACGGCCTTTTGTGGGCCTGGAGTCCAGGAAAGGCTTCCTGGAGGAAGCAACATCTTCGCTGAGCCCTGGAGGCGGTGCTGGTGGTACCCAGAAGAAGGAGGCAGGTGACCTAAGTGGAGCCACAGCTGTTGCGGGCGGCAGGGGCACAGGACACAGTCCCAAGGACTCACGGGGTGGTGGGGGACGGGCGGTGTGGGTAGTGACAGGTACGACGAGGCCACCGTCCCAGCCTGGGGGAGCACCCAGGCCACCTCTGCCTGAATCATGGCAAGAGGCCCCAGCGGGGGGTTTCGAGCACTTTCTCAAGGATGGGCAGGATCCTGGGGGTGGAAACTGGGATAAGGACATCCACCTACTCCCAGGAGGCAAAGCCGGGCTGGTTCTTAGACCCTCACCCTCAGAGCTTGCTACCCCCGCTCCTGCCCGGTGGGCCTGGAGGCCCCTCATCCCGCCCAGCCCTCCCACTGAGAGCTGGGTGATCCTGGGGAAGCCCCTGCTCCCCTTTGCCTCCGCTTCTAAATTCCCACTCTCAGTCCCAGGTTCAACCCCAGGTTCATTCCATAAGGGCTTGTCTGGCTCTCCCCCGCCGACTCCCGGGGCAGTGCTGCCACACTGTGGCCATTGGGGGAAACAACACCCGGGGCATCAGGGCCGCCTCAGCCCCGCCACCCTCACCCCTTGCCAGTGAAGTCACTGCCGCTGCCCTGCCCAGCTCCGGCTGCTGGAGCCACCGTGGGCCACAGTGAGTGGGTGATGGGCGAGCCGGGTCGTGCACGTGCCGGCTGTGGCCCCACGCAGGGCCTGACTCCCCACTGACTCATCACTAGCGCCGCGGGCCCCGTAAAGGTCAGGAAAGTGGGCGTGGGTGGGTGGAATTCGATTCATCTCATCAGCTGCGCGCAGACTTCGGGCAGGGTTTTAAACTCACATGGTGATACGAGCAGCCGGCTCTGCTTGGGCATTTATTCCGGGCCAGGCCCCGCGCCAAGCAGTTTTCATTCATTATCTCCTGCAAACCTCACCACCGCCCTCGGAAGTGGTGCTACTCACTCACACGCCCATTCACTCCACAAATATGTATTGGGCACCTCCTGTGCCAGGCTCTGAGGACACATCAGGGAGCAAGAAAAACAAGACCCCCCAACCCTGACAGAGCTCACAGAGGGAGAGGCAGGCAAGGAACCAAGAATAGGCCGTCCTGGCAGGTGGCAGGAAACTGTGAAACGGGGCGGGGCACGTGGAAGTGGTGGTGGGAGTGGGGGTTCCTCACGTATGCCAGTGACGAGGCTGCGCGGTGGGGCCAGGAGGTGCCCCTGAGGAGCGGTGAGCTGGCACCTTGGAGAGATGGGCAAACGGGGCAGCTAGAGGGTGAGGCTGGCTGGAGTGTAGGTCAGAGAGGTCGGTAGAGTCCAAACCCTGTGCGTGTTACCCCCATTTCCCAGAGGGGGACACAGTGGTGCTGACAGCTAGGTTTGGATCCGGAGGTGTCTGCCCAGAGGCAGACACCTGTGCCCGCCAGGCTGCACGGTCTCCTCCTCTGAACCCCTGTACTCTGTTCCCTCTGAGCCTGGGACACACACCCCAATCAAGAGGGGAGCCCAGCAGGATGAGGCATGACTGTGGACTCACAGGAGCTGCTGGGGGGTGAAATGGAGCCCAAGAGCCGAGTGTTGGCTTTAAAGTGAAGTCAAGGGCCTCCCCGGTGGCGCAGCGGTTGAGCGCTGGGTTGCGAAGCTGCCTGCAGCCTCCGCAGCGCTGGTTCGATCCCCGGCTGCTCCCCGGCCACCGGAGGAGGGTCCCACGTGGTGCGCAGACCTCTCCTGCCGCCCGCTGCTCCCCTCAGCAGTGTACTTCGGTCCTTCTGCCTGCTCTGCTCCCCGCTCTGGCTCTGGTGAATTCTCTCACCCTCCCGCGCTTCTGACTGTACCCAGTGCTTGTATAAATAAATAAATAAATCTTCAAAAAATAAATAAATTGAAGTCAAGCCCCTGCTCACGCTGCCCATTTCCAGCCGCTCCCCCAGCCATGCCCCCTTCCTCCCCACTCTCTCCCCACTCTCGTGCTGCTCCAGGGCAGCTGCCATCTCCCCCCTGCCCCCCCACCACTCTTGAAGCTCCCCCAGCCTGGAATATTCTTCGCCCAGGGGTGCTCACCCCCTCACTTCATCTGGTCTGCATTCACCCCTTGCCTCAACCCGCCCTCGGCTAGTCTGTTGGGAGGGACCGTGGAGTGCAGTGTGGGATCGTCCATCTGCCTGTCAGTCGGTTCCCCAGGGCAGGAACCTGGCCTGGCCGGGCCTCGTGGCCATCATTAACACCTCGCAACCCCGTGCCTGGCGCATCGGAATGTGCGTGCACAGTTGCTGAACGAATGAATAACTGTCATCGTGAGCAGGACCCCAGAGCCCGGGCAGGCGTCAGATAGCAAAGGCTGCAAATTTCAGAATCAGGTCCCTGGAGTCCATCTGGGCTGGCACTGGGGAGGCACAGGAACAGCAAGGTCAGATCTCTGCTGGCCAGAGTCTAGTGGCTGTCGCTGAGGATTGAGGGAAGCAGGAGCGGGGTGGGGGGGGAGGGAGGGGGGGACAGTGTCTCCCCTCCCCCTGAAGCTGAAGCAAGGCTGGGGAGCAGGGCACATCAGGGAAATGGGTTTGGTGAGAAGGGCGCCCTGGCCTGGTGGACCAGCCCTGGGGACAAAGGGCCTCCGGAGGCCGGATCTCCAGGGACAGGAAGGCCTCTCCCACTAGGGGCTGTGGGCGGAGGCTGACAAGAGGGATTAGCATTGCTCAGGCATTTGCACCCTTCCAGAAGCTTTGAGTGCACCGTGGGCCTCATTGTGTTGGGGTGCAAGGCAATTCCCTCCACTCTGCTGCCTCTGGCCAGAGATGGGATGTAGGCTTCCCTGGGGCTCCAGTCCCCCCAACCACCCCCAAAGCGGCTCCATTCCTGGCTCTACTGAGCATGTCATGGGCTGACCCCTGACCTCTCCTCCTCCTGCTGTGCCCCCTGGGTTAGGTCAGTGATGAAAGCCAGTGGGAGGCTGGGGGCGGAGAGCAGGACAATGCCCAGTTGTTCCCCTCCCGGCAGCTCTCGCTCCACTCTCTCCCTCTCTTTCTTTCTAGGGAAGGGGGTTCTCAAACCCAAGTGGGACGTGACCATGCAGATGTCAGGACCTCCCAGAGACCACGGGTCAGCAGGTGGTGTGTGGGTGTCAGACACGGGGCCTTGGAGTCTGGTCAGGCCCCACTGGGGAAAGTCTGGGACCGAGGCAGGAGACCGGGGCCACGGCCGGCCTCCCGCGCCTCCAGTGGGTATGAAACGCGGCGTTGGGATGCTGAGGGGGAAGCCAGCCCCCGCGGGAGGCTGCGAGGATGACACGTGACCCCAATGCGACTGCCTCCCCACCCTTCCCACTGACCGGACGACATGCCCCCTTCGGTGCCCACGGGCCAGGTCTGTGCCCATTTCTCTATTTTGTCTCATCTTGCTGTCCAGTCTTCGCACCAAAAAATACTACCCTGGCCTGATTCCTACAGCTTTATAATAAGCCTTGACTTTTGATGCCCAGGTGCCCCTACCTTCCTCTGTAGAAGCATCTCAGCTGTTCTGAGGCTCTGCGCCTCCTACTGCCTTCAGAATCCGCTTGCCAAGCTCCCGGAGCCCCACAGGGGCGCGATCAGGTCTGCCTTGAACTTGGAAGAACAGACATCTTTATAATCCTGCACCTCCCCACGCGAGTTTAGGGCTGTCTCTGTGCAGTGAGCTAGCTCTCTCTCTCTCTTTTACTTCATATTAGGGAAAATTTCAAATGTACAAAATTGAAGAGAAAAAGATAAAGAAACTCTTTCACCCAACCCCAAGCCTTACCAGTGATCCCTCACGGCGGCTCCATTTCCAACCCTAACCCTGTCCACTCCCTCTTTTTCTCCCACCCCACCATCCAGTATGTCGAAGCAAATCTTCGGGGTCTCTAATGTCTTCCGATAGTATTTAATTTCTTCCAGAGGGGCGTGTTTGTGTGTGTGTGTATGTGTGTCTTTCCCGCCGCAACTCCACCAGTTGCTGACGCTCCCCACCTCTGCAGTTTAGTCATTTTGAGAAGATCAAATTGGGGGACCCCACAGCTGTGCCCTCTGAAGATGGACATTCTGCCTTCAGCATCACCCCCTCCTGAGCTCCACCCAGCCTGGTGCTGCATCAACATAAAGTCAGATCTTTTTCATTGCTCAGTAATATTCCCTGGGCTGCATGGGCACATTTGTTTAACCAGCCGCTCACTAAAGGACGTCGCTTCCTATTTTGACTATTACAAATAAAGCTGCCAGACGCAAGCGCGTAGGTTCATGTGGACATGAGGTTTGTTTCTCTGTCATAACAGATGGTAAGTGCAGGCTTGCCTTTTCAAGACACTGCCGCCCTCTTTTCCAGGTGACTGTACATCAATCAGCAACATTTTATGCTTTTCTCTATAAATATTTGGTTGAATTTTTGTTTTTATTGAACAAGGAGAATTTTTTAAATTACACTCAGCTCTAATGTTTATAAATGCAATTGCTTTTTATTGAGAGAGAATCGGCACACCATGAAATTCACATTTTTTTTTTAATAGAGGCATGTTTTATTTATTTATTTATTTGTTTGTTTGTTCATTTGTTTTTGTTTATACATGCACTGGGTACAGTCAGAAGCGCGGGAGGGTGAGAGAATTCACCAGAGCCAGAGCGGGGAGCAGAGCAGGCAGAAGGACCGAGGTACACTGCTGAGGGGAGCAGCGGGCAGCAGGAGAGGTCTGCGCGCCATGTGGGACCCTCCTCCGGTGGCCGGGGAGCAGCTGGGAATCGAACCGGCGCTGCAGAGGCTGCGGGCAGCTTCGCAACCCAGCGCTCAACCGCTGCGCCACCGGGGAGGCCCGAAATTCACATTTTAAAGTGAACTATTCAGTGGTTTTTAAGATATTCACAAGGTTGTAGCACCATCATGACCATCTAATCCCAGAACATGCTCATCACACCAAAAAGAAACCTTTACCCATTGGCAGTCACTCCTCACCCACCCCTACCCCCGTCTCCATCCCTGCTCACCTGCTGTCTGTCTCCACAGATCTGTCTCCTGCACAGTCCCTCTAAGGGACCCATATCACGTGTCGTGTTTGGCATTTTTCACCCATCCTGGTGCTTCCAAGATTCAGCCACACGTTGTAATTGCCACTCGTTTTTTTTAAAAGATTTATTTATTTATGCATACAAGAGCTGGGGTACAGGCCAGATATGCGGGGGGGTGAGAGGATTCACCAGAGACAGAATGGGGAACAGAACAGGCAGACTGACTGAAGTACACTGCTGAGGGGAGAAGCAGGCGAGCCAGGTGAGGTCTGCCGCATCATGTGGGTAGCTCCCTGGCCGGCTGGGACTCAAACTTGTGCTGCAGAGGCTGCAGATTGCTTCATAGTGTGGTGCTTAACCCCTTGTGCCCCAGGGAGACCCTCGTTTTGGGGGGGGTTAAGCTTTTTTTTAAGATTTATTTATGCATAGAAGAACTGGGGTACAGGGGATAGGCAGTGAGAGGATTCACCAGAGACAGTGGGGAGCAGAACAGGCAGATTGACTGAAATTCATTGCTGAGGGGAGCAGGGGTGAGACAGGAGAGGCCTGCTGCGCCACGTGAGTAGCTCCCTGCTGGCTGGGAATGGAGCAGGTGCTCCAGAGGTTGCGGATAGCTTCACAGTGCTGTGCTTAACCCCTTGCGCCACCAGGGAGGCCCTGCCACTTCTTTTTGATACCATATTTCTGCTAAATATCTTCCATCATTTTAATCATGTGCCTACAAATTAGTTGGGGATTTCTGGGCAATCACGTCATCGGCAGATAATGCCAGTCTCACATCCTTACCAGTGCTCCCATGTTGCTGTTGGCGTTTCCATGCCTCCTGCTCCAGCTGGGGCCTCAGGTGTGCAGCTGAAGTGACAGATGGGTGCAGGGACCATCCCTCACCTTAAGGGATGTGGCCCTGTACCTTTAAGAAGTGTACTTGCTGGGGGGGTGGCCTGTTAAGCATGGCACCATGAAGCAATCCACAGCCTCACTGCCTCTTGCAGCACCAGTTCAACCCCGGCTGGCCAGGGAGCAAACCACAGGGTGCAGCAGACCTCTCCTGACTCACCTGCTGCTCCCCTCAGCAGTGTACTTCGGTCAATCTGCCTGTTCTGTTCCCCACTCTGTCTCTGGTGAATCCTCTCACCCCCTCACATCTCTGGCCTGTACCCCAGCTCTTGTATGCATAAATAAATAAATCTAAAAAAAAGTGTACTTGTGCTGGTTTTCGCAGATAATATTCATCAGTTTAAGGAAGTTCCTTCCTATCCCAAGTTTGCTAAAGCATTTTTGTCATAAGTAGATGTTGAAATGTAGCGCCAGTGCCAGGTGATCATATGACTCTCCTCCCTTAATTTATTAAGGTGGTGAAGGACAGCGTGGGTCATCCAAGCGTGCGCCACTCCTGCGTGCCGGGGCAGACCCAGTGCTGCCACGCTTCCTCTTCATTCATTCATTGCTGGATTTGTTTCTTGCATCTAATCTCACAAGCAGGACTAGTCTAGAATGTTCCTTTGAATGTTCTATGTAAATGGAAGAGGCACCTCTGATCTCTGAGTTCCCTGTGTCCCTCCCCACACAACTGCTTTGTCTTGAGGGGTGCTCCTGTGGGTGGCAGAGGGCAGGAGGCCCCTTCAGGCTCCCCCCCTCTCCAAGGCAGCCACAGAGCATGAAACCGGGAGACTCTGAGCCCTGGAGCTTTGGAAGGGCCTGTAGAGCTGTGACCCCTAAATCAGTCAAGGGGCAGCCACTCCTGGACCCATCCTTGAACAGGGAGACTTAACAGAACTTTCCTGCTGTTTGCCTTGAGGGGCGAGAGGGGGGCAGCCCTCCAGAGGAAGTGGCTAAAAAGGGGCTGGGGTCAGGGGTTAATGACCCCATTATGCTTGAGGCTGACGGATGGCCCAGCTTGTCAGTGGCAGTGGGAGAGAGAGCAGCCTCAGGGAAGACCCCCTCCCCCACCCCAACATCATTGGAGGGAAGGGTCCCTACTGGCCTTTGATAACAGCTAGGGGCCGCCCTCCCAACTGTGGAGATGCCAGGCCAGCCTGTTTGGGGGGGTGGGAGTCTAGTCTATTGGATCCCAGCACCTCCACCTCCTCTGCTTCACCCCCATACCCATTTCCTACAGCTGGTAGCAGTAGCGATTGTGACCAAGGGTACTGACCTGTCCTGGCCCCACCCAATCTCAGGCCCCAGCACATCCTGTCCCTGCCAACCCTGCCCATCTATGATCTGGTAGAACCCAACTCGCCCAGATTTGGGACAGAGAGACAGGTGTGGGACTTGGGCAAAGTTATTTTTACTCAGGAACAGAAGCCGCAGCCATTGTACAACCAGGAAGTCAGGGAGGCTTCCAGGAGGAGGTGATGCCAAAGCAGATTCTTAAAGAGTGAGTAGAAGTCAGACCAGAGGGGGCCGGGGCAGCAGGAAAGGGCACTGCAGGCAGAGGGATCAGCATAAACAAAGGCACAGAATGAAATCAGGGTCGTCTGTGTGAGCCAGGACACTTCGCTGGTGAGCGAGGAGGAGGCTAAGCGGATCAGATCAGTGGGCTCAGATTCTGCAGGGCCTCACCTGCCGTGCTATAGGGGGAGGGGATGGGGTATTCGCGGAGAGCCAGGTTCTCATCCTGGCTCCTTGACCCATTGATGCTTCAGTCACCCAGCTCTTGAGCAGCCATGTGACCTTGGGGAGTCACTTGCTCAGGAACAGCCTCCATGAGCAGGCTGCTCTGGGCTGCCTCGTTCCGTCCCCAAATAGGACCAAGAAGATGGGGAGTGGAGGAGCTCAGACCCCGCCGGCCGAGGGTCCCTGACCTCTTAATGTCCAGGGGCGTGGACAAGCCTGTTGGAAAATGGTGAAGGCCAGTCACTGAGGCACAAGTTCAATCCCCAGCCAGGGAGCTGACCCACGTGGCGCAGCAGACCTCTCCTGTCTCCCCGCTGCTCCCCTCAGCAGTGGATTTCAGTCAGTCTGCCTGTTCTGCTCCCCACTCTGTCTCTGTGAAAGCTCTCACCCCCCCACACCTCTGGCTTGTACCCCAGTTCTTGTATGCATAAATAAATAAATCTTTAAAAAAAGAAAAATGGTGATGGGCCAGAGCCGGGGAGAGAAGATCTCGTGGTGACAGGCGGCTGCTTTCGACAGCGGCATCGTCCTCCAGCATCGCTGAGGCAGGTCACCCCCAACCACCTGACAGGACTTGGATGGCACAGGCAGCCGCTCCCCGGGGCAAGCTGCCTGTGTTTTTGTCCGGTGCACTCCTCGCATTCAAGCTCTTCGCCTCCAGCAGGACAATCCGCTCCCAGCCCCTCGGCGCGCGCTGAGATCTCCCAGAGAGACGGCCTCTAACATGCCCTGGCTGCACCTTGGTCTTCACTTCAAGCAACCGTAAAATTTGCTCGTTGTAGAAAGCTGGAAATGCAGCAAAAGACCAAGCCCTGCAAATGCAAAAATTACTCTAAGTCCCACTACCCAGAAATAACTAAGGTTATGGTCGGGGTCAGATGTTGGGGTCCCTGGTGCCTCTGAGATTTCAGCAGCTTCCCATCCAGTGGCAGATGGTAAGTTAATTAGGGAAAAAGATGTTTGCGTAGACATGTAGAGGTGATGGCTGCTTTGTAAAGGTTTATTCGGGGAGAGACCCCTGCATAGACCTGCTCAGTAAGAGCTGCATTGGCGAGGGTCAGTGTTGTTAAGAGGCGCCTGCATAGACGCAGGTGGGCAGCCTTAAAGGGCAGGAGGTGTGCTTCGCCAGAGCAAAGGGGGGTTCTTCCATAGTGATTGTTTTTGGGGGGCAGGATGGAGGGGATTCATTCCTTTGTGGGATTTTATCTCTTTGAGGTCAGGTTGGGTTGGTTCTCTGTAAAGGATAATCCTTTCTGATCCTACCTGAGATTCCTGGAAAATTCCATAGCCGGTTGAAAACTGGTTAATCGTCCCTTGTGAGACCTTTTTTGTCCTTGTGAGACGTTCCATCCTAAATTTTTCCACTCCAAGCTCCCGCCGGTTGTTGCGATTCCTGGGCCTTTTACAGTAACGGGGCTCTCGTGTGGTTTCTGTTCTCACCGAAGTTCTCTCTGGGTGGAGATCATTTCCCAGCCTGCTGGGTAAGATTATACCGAAATCATTTCCTCTGTCATTAAAACTCTTCACGAGCATCATCTCTCGTGGCTGTCAAATGCGGCCATAGGGGTGCACCAGGCCCACGCCTCCAGGCCCACATCACTGGGCCCATGAGCTCTGAGGCGCCCTCGGGCTCCTCCCGCAGCCGACATCTCTGCACATGAGTCTTTCCACTCAGTTTGCTTGAACGAGGCGTGGGACACACGTGGCCTTCCCTCCTCCTGCCAAGTCCCGACATCAGGCCCCAGGCCAGGGGGCGCCCCTGCACTCCCAGCGCCCCTAGCTGTGGGGTCCCAGGGACAGTAGCCCCCCTTGTGCCTGGGGGCAGTCAGAGACCCGCAGTGGAGGCCCAAAGCGTGAGCCGGGTGGAAGCCTGCGTGTGCCGTGTCTTTCCCGACGATCAAGTTTCATGTATAAACCAGGCTCAGCGAGCGACGGACAATAACAATAAAAGAACAATTACAGCAGGGCCTCCCCGGTGGCGCAGCGGTTGAGCGCTGGGTTGTGAAGCTGCTCGCAGCCTCTGCAGTGCCAGTTCGATCCCCGGCTGCTCCCCGGCCACCGGAGGAGGGTCCCACATGGCGCGCAGACCTCTCCTGCCGCCCGCTGCTCCCCTCAGCAGTGTACTTCGGTCCTTCTGCCTGTTCTGCTCCCCGCTCTGGCTCTGGTGAATTCTCTCACCCTCCCGCGCTTCTGACTGTACCCAGTGCTTGTATAAATAAATAAATAAATCTTTAAAAAAAAAAAAAGGACCAATTACAGCAAAGTGCTGGAAATATGGACAGCAATGTCTCTAAAACTACCTCATCGTTCGTGATGTTTCTGGGCCACACTTGACTGCGGAGGTGGGGGCTGACACAGGGAACGTGAAACCTCAGACGGGGGGTAGGGGGGATGGCAGAAGCTGCAGACGCGGACCCCCGGCGGGGAATATTTTGTCCGCTTTGTGATAAGAAGACAACATAAGACAGACTCTCTTGGGGGGGGGGGTTAAGTCTCAGCACCTGTTTCTTCCTGGCCCTCCCTCCCTCCCGCTCCGTCTCCATTTATTCTGCTCTGGTCGAGGGAACCGAAGCCCGGGTACCAGACTGTCCAAAAAAATCAACGGGCTCTGAGGCAGGAGGGGCGCCCTCGGGAAGAGTGCAGGGGCGCCAACTGGGTCCTGAGGTCGCTTCCTGCTCTGTCAGGGTCGGGGCAATGCTGACCCGTAAGTGGGGCAAGTGCTCTGAAAGGTGGGTAGAGCCCTACTGTGTGCTGAGCCCCGTGGGGGAGGGAGGGACTGGGCTGCAGATGGGAGGACGCCCCTCAGGGTCAGCTGGGTGCGGGAGAGGAAGTGAGTGTAGCCGTGGCCCATGGACATGGACGGAGCTGGAAGTCCTGGGAGGCCCCAGGCAGGGTCTTCCTCCTGCCTGGGGCTCAGGGTGGGGCACCCAGAATCAGGGTGGGGACAGGCAGGGGTGAGAAGCGGGGAGAACAGGCTCACAGCCCCAGGCCCGGGGCATATGCCCCGCTCGAGCACTCTCGGCAGCAGAAAGAACCAGGCCCTTTGAGACCTGGGCGCCCTCTGAGCTCAATGGGCGCCTGTGCTGGGCCCTCTCCCACCTCTGCCCACCCTTTCTGGTCACCTAGACACCCCACTTTGAAGCCTTTTATAGAGACACCAAATCTCAGGACCCCCAAGTCCCTCCATTGCAGAGAGGAGGGGCCAGTGCGCAGGGTCCCTGGACACCCCGCCTGCTCCCCACAAGTGACTTTGTGGCTCTCAGGGCCAAGCCACTCCTGTCCCTCCTGCCAGCTGGGACCATCCCACCCCCACCCGGGAGCCCTCCCCAAGTCCATCTTTCTGCCGCAGCCCTGATTCTCCGCTACAGCTACGAGCCTCTGCCCCTCAGCCCGGAAAAGAACAAGAACAACCAGGATTCCACAGGTCCCCTCCAGCCCTCTCCCCTTGTCTCTCCAGCCACAGGGCTGTCTGCGCTCGCTCGCTGTCTGCACCTGGCCCTGCCCCAGTGCTGCTCCCTCTCCCCCGCCCGACCCCACGTGGAGGGAGGCCTCGTGGCCTGGGAACCCCCACACCAGGCTACACTCCCCGTCTCTCCCCGCTGCTGTGACAGGGGCCTCCTGCCTTGACCTCCTCCCAGCCGAGCCCCCCACTCAGGTGGGCCCTACACCCCACCCGCGTGCTGGGCGCCTGCGCTCCCCACCCAGAGCACTCACGTGAAGCAGCTCCTCCACCGCCTGGGCTCCCACCTCTCCTCTGGGCTTCAGACCCATGAAGGCAACCACGTCCACCTGGAGGTTCCCGAGGGCCTCCAACCCCCCTCCCCCACCCACACCTGGCCTTACCCCCGCCCCCGCCCCCTCCTCCTCTGTACCAGCTGCTGGTGCCCCCAGGCCCGTCCATGCTCCCCCCAGACTCCATGCAGCCCCTCATGGGCTTCAGTCAGAGCCATCACCGTCCCTCCTGAAGGGCCTTCAGGCCTGTGGCAGCCCCTCTTCCAGCCCCAAGACCTGCCCTGCCCCCCATTTCCTGCAGGAGAGCCTGTCTCCCCGGGCCAGCCCCCTGGTCTCATAGCCGGTGCCACACCAGCTGCCCCAGACGGCCAGCCTTTGCCCGCAGTGCCCCAGCGCACTCCCAGGCCCGCGCCTGCCGCACCCACTTGCCCTCGGTTCTCGGGAACAGAAGCCCAGGCCAGCCTCTCAGCTCCTCCAGGCCGCAGAAGCCCCGCAGGTGCCGCCCCGCTCCCGGGAGAGGCTGAGGCGCCCGGCTTCTGGGCCTTCTGCTGCCAGCGGCCCTGCTCCTTCAGGAAGAGCAAACCGAGGCATTCTCTGACCCCCCACCCCGTTCCTCCCCAAACCGTCCCCTTCCCCTGCCCACGTCAGACAGAACGCCCCAGATTGCTAGTGGGGCTCGTACTGCTTCCTGAGGGGGGCGAAATTCCAGGGCTGAGAGGCCCAGGTCCAAGGGACGACACACTCCCTGGGGATCCCCACTGTCCCCCGCAGGGCCCCGGGGCCCCTCTGAGCAGGCCGCCAGGGATCCTGCAGTGACAAACCCCCGGGGAAACCCCGGCTCAGACCTTGGCCCTGTGGGGAGGGGAGCAACAGACGCAGCAGACGCTCAAACCTCCGCCCTCCCAGGGCGGCCTGTCCCACGCCCCTGCTGGTCCTTTTCAGTTTCATCACCCCAAAAAGAAGCCCTGTGCCCTTCAGTTGTGACCCCCAGCCCTCAGCCACCACAGACGCACTGTCCACAGCTGTGTCGGGCCCGGACATTCCCGGCTCACCCTCTCTTGCCTCAGTCTCCCCAGCGGCGGACGGGCTGGCGGAAACCAAGCCTCCCACCACGTCCGCGCGGCATCGCCTGCGCCAGCCAGGCCCGGAGAGCTGAGGCCCTGCTGGAGGAGTCGAGGCAGGCGGGGTCCAGCCGCGGAGCATTTACAGCGAAATGGAAAAACTCGAAGGGCTCACCCAAAGCAGAATAAGCCAGAAAAATAAAGACAAATATTGGCCAAGTTCAGGGACAGGCGCGCTCTGCGGCGCCGCAGGTGGCAGGTGAGGTGAGGTGAGCAGATTGGCCAGCAGACACCGATGACCCAGCTGAGCGGGTTTGGGGGGGAGGGAGGGAGGAGGGACAGGAGGGCGGAGGGGTGACCCGGGATAAGTAAACAAATAAAACAGACTGGGACACGCCATGGGCGGCAGCAGCGCCCCTCCTAGGCCTTCTCGGGAGGACCGGAGTAAGGATCGTGTCTGGCACAGAGGGAGCACTCGTGACCTGCCTGTCCTTGTTGTTCCTGGACACTGCCTCCGGGGCGGGGCTCCCCGCCACCCTCTCACCCTGCCTGTCACCCAGATCCCCAGCCCAGACCTCTCCCCAGACTGGCCGACAGCCCCGCACCCCCACCCCGGCCCTCGGGACCTGCGCTGACCTTCCAACGTTTACCTGGTCGTCCAGCCCAGAAACCCGGGGGCATCCTTGCTGCCCCCCTCCCCCTGTGCCCGCCCCCCACCTCTCCCTGGCCGTCCTGACCAGTCACCATCGCCAACCGGGCTCTGGTGTCCTGTGCAGCCCCACCTGCCACCCCGGCCTCCCACGAGCCGTCTCCGCTTCCTGGGTGATAACAGAGGGGTGACAGCAGCTTGGCTTCAGGGTGGGGAGTCAGATATAAGCAAAAGGGGTGACCCTGCATTCTCTGTGGCCTGGATGGCGGGATGGCTACCAGGCTGGGGCCCTGCCTCCCCCTGCATAATGGATGGCGTCAGTTCCGGAGCCCCAGCAGCACGAGGGACTCAGGAAGTGGGGGGAGGAAGGGAAGAGGGAGGGGGTGCCCATGGCTGGATCAGTTGGGCGAGGCCCCGCTCCTGGCCGTGGGCCTCTCCAGGCCTCAGTTTCCTCCTTACAGCGCTACTGCGGGGCGTGGGGGGCGACAGACACTGTCTTCCCGGAGAGCAGACACTGCGGTAACTAACTGGCTTCCTGGCGCTCCCAGCTTGGACACATTCTGTTTCCTTCTTTCCTTCTTCTTTCTTTGAATCCAGTATATTTGTTGTCAGGTTTTTGCTGGCAGCCCAGACTGAGTCTTGGTGTTTCCCATGGGCCATGGCACATTCTGAGGGCTTTTTCTTAGGTCAGGGGGGAGAAGCCCTGGGCTCCGTCCTGCTGCGGCACCTGCTGGCCGGGCCACAGGTGGGGACGCAGACGTACCTGCCGAGCCTCAGGCTCCACCTCACTTCCCCTCCAGAGGCTGCCGTGCACATCATCAAGATGGTGGATGGGAGGTGTCTGGTCTCCGTGCAAGGAGGCGACCCGGGGCGGGCTTGGCAGCGGGGAGAGTCCCTATCTCCCGGAGGACAGGAGGTGCACCCAGCCACCCCCACAGTGACCTTCCCGACGCAGCGGGCCTCACTAACGGCCCCGGGCTGCCTGGAAAGGCAGTTCTCAAAATGGCCGCCACGGCCATAAGGCCCCTTTTGCTC